TGTGAAGTCAGGTTTGACTTTTTATTTAACATGACGCATACATAGTATGTTGATAAGTCAGTCAGTCAGGGAAATATTCCCCTTTATCAGCTATTTTAGTCTTTCGGTATCGATTCATTCAATGTCTTGTTCCTCTTTAGTATTCTGAAAATGTCTTGATAGTAAGTCGATTCGATGTACCTACACACGTATTCACAATTTATTTTCCTCTAAATCTCGGATATACTGTTGTATCGTACACTTTATTTCGAATTCCCTTCAGTCTTTATGAATTATATTCTCTATGTTTAGTTTATTAGCATAAATAATATACGTTAGACACTATGCATTTCATCTCCCTACACTGATGTGAACTATGAGAACTTAGACCTCAGTGAATACTTCAAAAGCTTTCGAAACAAGCCACGAACAACGAAATCCACAATTGATTCATTTCACAGAGGACATCAGCAACGATTGCTTTAAACCTATATTCATATATTTATTTATTTAAACACATAAATATCAGTACAAAAAGACACCAAAACGAATGTGCGCAACACAAATACGGAACTAAGATTGTGAAGACGTAGATAAACGGAGGGTATAACCAAAATAAACAAATGAACAGGAATGGTTTGTGGCGGGACACCTCTGCTTAAAAAATATGACCACGGAGATCCCTTTTATTTAAAGGAATACCTTTCACTTTTGTAAAGAATGTAAAAAGAATATACAGCAGGAACACCAATGACTTCTATTCTGAGCCATATCTGACGCCTTAAGCCACTGAGTACCACGATCAGGACGAAACCCAACTTTAGACTCTTAGTACTTTAGGCACGGAAAAGTCATCAGGACCGGATGAACTACACCCAAAACCCTGAGACGAAATGCACAATATAATGCGGCCCCACTGACTGTCACTTGGCTAAGATGAGTTACCTACGGACTGGAAGGATACAAATTTCACTCCAATACATAAAACACGATCAAGACAATTGCCACCAAACTACGTGTCGTAGTAAAGATACTGGAAAGAATCATCAGAAAGACCATAATAACATTCATGTATACCAACGATTTGTTTAACAACGAGCAACATGGCTTCGGAAAAGGTCTATCTTTTTGATGGAGTTTTGCTCTCTGAGCTGGATGGTTTGGTCGTGAAGCTTTCATCGTTCTTCTGAACGACATCATCCGCACAAATTTCAGGTAGAAGTGAAGTGTTCGAATTTCTCCATATGTGGTTCACATCATGTCATGTACACCACGATGTTGATTGGTTCTTGTTGACCTTAGACCTGTCATTGTTGACTTCTTTGTTTTGGTTGTATCTCCCATCGGTTTCATTTTTGTTCTTATTTACAGAACAATAAAACGTCATCAAAACCACCCACTTGAGCTACAAATCTCCTCCACCATCTCAAGGTTTATCTTGCACAACGAAGCTCCTTATAGCAAGAGAAATAGATAGTCAGTCAGTCAGTCAGTAACAACGTAGAACTTCGTACGAACGTACATCAGTTTGAGTTGCCATACCACATTAGCACAGAGATGCAGTGGTCGATTCAAATCCCCGTAGTGCTAGATAGAGTAAAATTATAAGCCGTGACCAGAAAAATTAGGGTTTGAAGATGTTATTCAAGGAGTATAATCCAGTGAAATAAATTTGGAAAGAGAAAAAAGAAAAGGACATGAAGAATTCAGAAGATTCGAATTTGGGAGAACACAAAGAGTGGATGCACCTGCGCCATTGCAAACAATTTTGAGCCATGTCATTCATGGTATCTAACCATCGGTTGCTATCATCTCGCGGTCCCCATGAATTCATGAACTTGTGCCATGTTTTGATCTGGCCACCCCTAGCTTCCTTCCAATCTACTTCTACACCGTAAAACATCTCTCGTCGGGGCATTGGATGGTCGTGCAAACGTATCACACATCCCAGCCATCTCACTGAAGTTTTACTACTTCACCAACTGATTCGCCATCCTTACCTATTACCCGTTTCCTAACAACTGTGTTACTTACTCGATGGTCCCAGGATATACGAGCAATGTTTCGAAGACACCTATGATCAAATACTAGTAACCTACGGATATCCTCTAATCTTACCGGCCATGTTTCACTGTCATAAAGTAGGACGGAACGAATTGCTGCGCAGTAAACACGTCCTTTGTTTGATAGACGGATATCTCGCCTACTCCATAAATGATGTAATTTGGAAAAGCATATTCTAAGTCAACAAGTGAACCTCCTGGTAGAAGTTCAACCCCTGGAAATATAGACGAGGAAAGTGTTATCTCTAAAAGTACGTCAACGACAAAGTTGAACAAACATGCAGAGAGTGGACAGCCCTGACGAACACCACTTGAGGTAATCAATTCTGATGACAGTTCGCAATAAGCTCTCACTCGACCAGTTGTGTTCGAGTAGAGAGCCTTTATAAGGTTAATGTACTTCTTTAGTACTCGTTTCAGTGACAAACACTGCCATAGAACCTCACGATCAACAGAGTCGAATGCCGCCTTAAGGTCGAGAAATACTACCATTGTGGGGCGTCTGAATGTGTGTCTGTGTTCTAGAACCTGACGTAGTGTGAATATCTGATCTATACAACCACGTCCAGGTCTAAAACCAGCCTGGTTTTCTCTAATCTGCTCTTCACGAGCTTTAGTTAGGCGTGGAAGTATTATTGAGGCTAATATTTTAGACACTATATTAATCAAACTGATTCCTCTGTGATTGTCACAAGAGGACTTTTGTCCTTTCTTATAGACTGGCACAATCAGTGATTGGGACCAGTCACATGGGATTACGTCCAGTTCCCAAATTCTACCTAAGACCTCAGTTAATCTCACTACCATGGATAGAGGCTCTACATAATGGAAAATCAGTGGATGTTGTCTACAAAGATTTCAGAAAACCATTTGATAAGGTGGGAAAAAAGTATACTACTCTTGAAACTGTAAAATCTAGGCATTGCCTGACCTCTCATAAAGGGTATCAATGATTTCTTGGTAGGTCGCAGACAGAAAGTAGGAATAAATTCTGAATGCTCCTCCTTGAATGTCCTTTACTTTTTATGCTATGTAAATCAACTTTCAATATAGTTGAGTCCCCAATGTTACTATTTGCTGATTATGTAAAAATTTATTTATGTGTTCGGATAAATAGATAAAATGACTTAAATATTGTGACTAACTGGTCGAAAGAGAGGCTGATACCTATCAGCGCGGTAAAGTGGATCTATCGCAAATTAAGAAGTGACCTGATTTTGTTGCATAGAATACTAAGAACTTATTTAGAACTTATCGTCTCTTTTTCTTCCAACATCGGGACATCTCAGAGAACATAGCAGGCGAGTAGAAATGTCAAGAATGAACAAAATACCGGTGGCATACAGGTTTCCATACCGAGTCATCAATGCTTGGAACCTGTTACCCGAAGCAGTGGTGTCCGCACTTTCAATTGACTGATTCAAGAGAAGACTAGACACTCAAAGAACCACACCAGAAAGGAATAACATACGCCGCAGGCCTCCTGTCCTTACTACACAAATCTGAATCTATTTCTTGCGACTGTATTTCAAGGGCTTTGAATAAACTGGAAATTGTGACGAAAGCAGATAGTGCGGACGCGTCTTTCTTCTGGTGACAACTGTCCTAAAGAAACTCAACATATTACATAATGTCAGCTTTTACGAACTCAATGAATTTTGTTAGGTTATTTCCCAGTCATGTCCTTTAACTGTCTCGCTTTGAGCACTAACACTAACTTCATTTAGAAACATATGTTAAATACTTGTTCTTAAAGCATATTATTCGGTGAGACTATAGTTCATGGACGACCTTTGAGCGACTCCAGACTGACCTTGATTGTCCATCTAATAACCAGGACCAAATGAGGGTTATAGTCCTGTGCGAGGATTTAGAATTATGATTTACAGTTGACGATTAAGGTTAGAAATTAGATTTAGAGTTTTCATCACGAACTGATATCAGCTATACTTCCGAAACTACATTTACCCAAGTGGATGAGTGAATTTCGCGCCAAAAACCTGTTTTCTTATGCGTGGTTGGTCCGACCATAAATTATAGACTAACCCTTATTTTTCTCAGTTCAAAATAACTTGATATAATCACTATACTTATTGACATAAACGAGGATTAAGATGGGTGCAGGAATAAGTTTTGTATCTAAAACCCAGTGGAAAAGAGGTAAAGCTAAGTAAAGTGTAGCGATCCGTATTTAAAATATCGGTGGACTAGTAAAAAGTTTAAAAACACAAAATATTGCAGGGAACAAACACTACTTAGAAATTAAAAACTCACATATCAGATGAACTAACTACTTTATCAATAAACAAATGATTCTAATTCCAGGCTTTAGGTACCCTTCCTTAAGTGGACATGGAGGTGATCCATATAACAAAAGAAATTAGGACAATCACTACTAAAGCGAAGTCTCAGGAAATCATGCTTTACTTTTACTAAATTGACAAGATATTAACAAGTAAGCAGACTATGTTGATGAAAATACTGTTGAATTAAAATGACACTATTGGATGGGGACCTGTTACAAAACACATGAAATAGCTTAAATTATTAACAACTACTCAACGCTTTTAAGTTTAGTTGCTTAATCAAGTTACACCTTAGCCTAAGGAAACACGTTTAATTACTTATGATTACCATTAGTGCTTCGTGTACTCACGGCAAATTAGTACATGTATAGTTAAGTCTAAAATAATATATTCAGTTATCTTTCAATTACAGACGGTAGTCTAGCAGTTTTGGGATAAGTGCTAGAGAAGATTTTACTGCTGGGTATCTGTACTTAGTCGTTAACAGGCATGCTTAAAGCTTTTGTTGCTAAACTACCTAACTCATGGTACGAAATTACATCACTCCATCTAACTATGCATGACCTGTACATAAACAGTAACTAGTAATAAACTCAGCTACCAATTTACATAAACTTTTTGGTTGCCGTTAGGAAATAGCAACATACGTAACCAGTGATCGCCTAAATTCCTTCATGCAAATAAAACCAACTACAAATAGTGCTTTGTTAACTTGACAATGTCTACAATAACAATAAAGTTCAAAAAACTATAGTAACTGATAAAGCAGTTCATACTAAATTATAATGCAAGTCATTTACATGAAAATATACTCGACTCCGAATTGCACTTTTGTGAGAACACCAGCGGTACAACTTCGCTGTCCAAACTGAGGCAGATGGAGTAGGGCTCAAAATTGAGACTTGACAGCGAAAAATTAGATAGTTTAATCACTGAGTCACAGTTCTACAGTAGAAAATATCACATTACACAACCACGTTTCTATATCACGTACTATGGAGAAATAAAATAATACCAAGAATTATCTAAACGGGACCAAGTACTTTGACCTTAAGGATATTGGAAAAATCACTGACACAGTTATTATGGCTTAGATGATTGGTATAATGAATATGAGAATGATAAGTACTTAGTCGAAATACACAAATACAATTACCATTAAGTTATAAAGATGAATAAATCGTTCAGAAGGCCAGCCAAAGCGAAATATAGTCAGACCAAAAGTATTACTAATACATTGTACAGAACGATTATATTGGCATTTCAGGATAATACTAAAATAATACCAACTGTGTTATCCATAATTGTTTTATCATAAAAGAAATGTGTACACATGCTATGTGGATAAGAACAACGCTTCCCACATAAACACCATTATTTGTCAGTCTTCTTCCTTGATGAATCTAACCCATTTGATTTTGCTCCATTTTCTGCTTTTCCATTATCTAGGTTATCAGATTTATGCGTAGTACGCTTACTTTGATCAACAGAACCAATAGGAACTTTTTTCGACTCTGTATTACCACCCAAGCCTTCTTCGTTTCTCTCAGTTTCACGATTTGTTAATTTATTACTAATTAGATCGTGTAAGGCAAGTATTGCTCTCATTATAGCAGCAACATAAATAACAAGCATTTGGTCGTTAGTATTAACGTGAATTGCACGGACTGTATCATGCAGTTTGAGATCAGGAAGCAGATTGAAAATATCTTGCAACTGGTATATTATACGATGGTTAACAGGAAGCTTGTCAGAAGAAACCAACTGCAAGTACTCACGAATTTCATATAACTGTCGTAATAAACCGGATAATCCATCTAACTGACAACCGATTCTTTGCGATAAAGAACCAAGTGATGTATCCTTAATATCCCTGTAAATGAAAAGTTAACAATAGAAAACTAGTTGGTTAGTGTCTGAAAAAAGAACATCCACTCAAATCTCATGAAATAAATTAGGATAAATAAGGAAAGTTTCTGGACTATTGTAATGCTCAAAAAGTAAAACTGAACATCTTAGAATGCTTTGACATCAAATATTCTTTGTGCATTCATTAATAACATATTTACGACTAATTTTACAACTCAACTATCACAAAGGTTTAGGCCAGTTGGTGCTCGTCAGTACGGTTTAAATAAAATCTTTAAGGAACTGATATTCCCAAACCTACATCACCTGGTGAAGCAATCAGAAATGTTACTACAGAACGATTCTGTCATTGTGTAAAGAGATGTTTTCTAGACCCTGAAGTTATGGAATGTTCCATGTTTAGTTAAATGGCTGATTCAGTCAGTCAGTCAGCTACAACGTAGGACCAGGCACATATATGCATCGGTCCAAGTTGCCATACCGCATCAGCACAACAAGATGGACACCGGATTCATAGCAGTGGTTAGGTCAAAGGTGGTAATATATAAGAGAAAGATTGCCTATAGAGATATAGTACAAGAAGAAAGAATTGGTTCGTAGAAAGAAAGATATGAAGTGATTTTAATCTCTGAGTTTAAGGGAAGACAGGGAGTGTATACACCGACGCCATTGTGATCGATTCTGAGCCATGACACCAAGAGTCTCCAACCATTGGTTACGACAGTCACGCGGACCCAAACCAAGTAGTCTGCATCTACCAACATGGCTCAGACTAGAAGTTAGTGACTTCAAGCACTGATGCCACGTTTTGGTTTGGCCGCCCCTAACTTTCTTCCAACCATTTCCAATACCGGATAGTATTGCACGTCGTGGTAATCGGTGTTCAGGCATACGTAACACGTGGCCCAACCATCTCAGTCGATGAAGATTCATAACCTCATCAACTGATTTACCATCATTCCCAAATACCCTGCGTCTAACCTCCCTATTACTTACCCGGTGATCCCAGCAGATGCCAGCAATATTTCTAAGGCATCTGTGGTCAAATACTAATAGTTTACGAGTGTCTTCTACTCTTAATGGCCATGTTTCACTGCCGTGAAGTAAAACAGAACGGACTACCGCGCAGTATACTCGTCCTTTTATTGATAAACGGATATCTCGCCTTCGCCACAGGTGACGTAAGTTGGCAAAAGCCAATCGAGCTTTCCGAATCCGTGCTGAGATTTCGTCAAACACCAACTCATTAGGGCTGATCAGACTTCTAAGATAAGTGAAGTTGTCAACGCGTTCTATTACTTCACTCCCTATCCTTAGTTCAGGTGTTAACGCAGACCAGTCCTCAAGCAACAACTTGCATTTAGAGGGAGAGAAGCGCATTCCAAACATCCTGGCATTGTTGTTCAGTGCTGCCAGAAGACTCTGCATTTTGTCAGCGTCTTCACCAAACAGGACTATGTCATCTGCGTATTCTAAGTCGATTAGTGGACCTCCTGGAAGGAGATCAATACCCGAGAACTCAGTCGACGAGAAAGTTATTTCCATCAGTAGATCTATGATGAAGTTAAACAAAAATGGGGAAGTGGACAGCCTTGACGGACACCACTTGAGGTTGCAAAAGTAGATGACAGTTCGCCATAAGCTCTGACTCGACTAGTAGTGTTCGAGTAAAGAGCCTTCACAAGGTTTATGTACTTCCGAGGTACGCCTTTCGATGACAAACACTGCCACAGAATCTCGCGGTCTACCGAGTCAAATGCTGCTTTTAAGTCGAGAAAGACCACCATTGTCGGACGCCGATAAGTATGCCTGTGTTCTAGAATCTGACGAATGGTGAATATGTGGTCGATGCAGCCACGACCAGGTCTAAAGCCAGCTTGGTTCTCTCGTGTTTGCAGTTCACGAGCCTTGGTTAGGCATTTGATAATTATCGAGGCTAGTATTTTAGATATTATATTAGTTAAACTAATCCCTCTGTGGTTGTCACAGGATGATTTTGACCCTTTCTTACATATTGGGACGATAAGTGATTGTGACCAGTCAGATGGGATAACGTCTAACTTCCAGATCTTAGCTAAAATATTAGTCAACCTAATCGCTAAAATTGGACCACCATCCTTAAAGACCTCTGGAGCCAGTCCATCTGGACCAGCTACCCTTACTCGTTTCAGAATAACTATAGCCTTTTGAACTTCAGCAAGAGTTGCAGGACCTACTTCAATGTTCCATTCACACTGTCTGGGAATGGAGGGTAGTTGTAGAGTAGCTGAAGGCCAGCTGAACTGTTCTCTGAAATGTTCCGCCCATCGTTCTAAACGTCTGGACTGGGAACAGATGAGTGTATCGTCTTTTTCCGATATAATCTCACTTACACTTGACTTATTAATTTCAGTTTCTTTTATTAGTCTGTAAAGCTGTCTTGTGTTCCCTATAGTCGCCGCCTTTTCCATCTCTTTTGCTTTCGTTACCCACCACTGCTCACGGTCGTTCTTTAGACTTTTTCTTAACCTAGATCTGATTTGTTGTCGCTCTTCCTCATGTTCGGAACCTGATGGGACGAGTTTGCGAGAATTCATCAGTGTGATAGACTTTGAAGAAATCCACTGGTTCTTTGAAACTCAGTGGTTTAAGTCGCCAATAGATGTCACTGCAGCTTCCACAGCTGCTTGTATATCTTTCCAAGCAACATCTGGGTCAGCCTCGTTTTCAGAACTACCTGATCGTGACCTCAGTTGTTCCTGGAACCTACTTTTGGTTTCCTCGCTACTCAGTTCGGTTCGAATGGGTCTTTTTACTGTGGCTTTTTTGTGTCCAGTGAGGCACAAGCAGATGCGTGCCCGTACTGGGGCGTGGTCGGAGTCCAAGCAGGCACTCCAGAATGAGCGACAATCTTGTACCGACCCTCTCCAACGATGACTGATGGCAATATGGTCTATTTGAGTCCATCGTTGGCTTGGTGCAGGCGGTCGTCATGTTAGACGATGTCTCTCCTTATGCTTAAAATTTGTGTTTGCTAAAAATAAGCGATTGTCTGAGCACAGTTGCAGCAGACGGTCACCATTATCTGTTCGTTGTGCCGGAATGCTAAAATATCCACCTAAATGCCTTTCTGTTTGGTTTAAGCTACCTATCTGAGCATTAAAGTCACCCCCTACGAGTACTATGTCTGAGCGTTTAGCTTTCTGAAGAAGTTCGGACAGCTTTCTGGAAAATTCATCTTTTACATCATCTGAGCTGCAGTCAGTGGGAGCGTAGGCAGAAACGACGAAAAGGCGACGACGTGTGTCCCTATCCTTCCGAGTTCTTACGGAGCCGTTTAGCCGAACAGCACATAGACGACTGTTGACGGGGATCCACTCTAGCAGTGCTTGTTCCACCCTCATGCTTAGTGCTATGCCTACACCTGCTAGTCCACGAGAACTGGCCATCGGGCTGATTAATGAAAATACATCACACTAAACCTCATCAGTTGAAGAGTTTGTGATTCGGCATAGACTGAGATGGTTGGGCCACGTATTACTCATGCCCAACCACCGATTACCATGACGGGCAACGCTGACTAGTGTTGGAGACAGACCGAAAAACTTTAGGGGCAGACAAACTAAAACGTGGCATCAGTTCATAAAGTCATTAACTTCCGGTTTGAGCCAAGTTAGTAGATGCAGACTACATGGTTGTGGTCCGCGCGACTATCGAACCCAGTGATTAGAGACTGAGTGACATGGCTGGGAATCGATCACAATGGTGTAGATGTATGCAGTGTCTGACTTCCCTTAAACTGTGAGATTAAAATAACTTTAAATCTTTCTTTCTACGAACTAATTCTTTCTTCTTGTATCATATCCCTATATGAAATCTTTGTTCATTATCATTAAAGTAACTACTTCTATAAAATTTGATGTTCGTTTTGTGCTAATGAGGCATGGCAACTTGAACTGACGCATACATGTGCCTGGTCCTGCGTTGTAGCTGACTGACTGACATTACATCCAACTGCAAATAATTAACGAAGGCTTTATGCTATGAAATTATTAGGATTATTATAATCTCACCGCAGTAAGTGTTCAACACCAACTTCTTCAGCTTCTTCAGCATCTACTTCCGATCGAAGATGATCAAAAGATTTCGTTGTTGGGGATCCATCCTTTAAAAAAGCCATAAATAATAGTTTTGTGTGAAAAAAGTAATAGTCTAGTAATGTACACCAATAGTTTAATTTCTGCATATACCATATTATATTTTCTCCTATTGGACTACACGTAGTAAGCTAAATGAATTACTGTAGTTCATTTCTGATATCGAATAACTAAATATCAAGTACATTCAAAAAAACAATTTGATAAAGTACACCAAGATTTGAATTTGGTCTTGCCTATTTAACCATCAAACAGTATTAAAAGGTGAAAAAAGTTATGACCAAACACAAAGCTAAATCGAAAATGCTGTTCATGGTTTGCCTACAAAAAGTAACATCAAAATTTCAGGGCTGAAATGTTGTTTTATAGTAAGAAATTCAAGAAGTTTACGGCCACAATTCGTGTGAGAGCCAGTAACCTGCAGCGTAAAGTAGGGTTAATGATATACATATATAGCTCACTCTGTAGAATTCGATAATCTAGAAACTTAACAGCAACCATCGTACAAATCGTGGAATTGGTCTCAGAGGACAGACGTTATATGAAAACAACACAGTCGAAATGCCTACTTAATAACATTCTTATCTAGTTGCACAGACCACATTAGTATTTATATCAATACACACGACAAGAGGATAAAGAAAATTAGTACAAAGCCTTATGACAGAATATACGCTTGTTAATATACTCCAAACAGTTGTTTGTATAAAACAACTGTGTTAGACATATAAATAACTCTACGTCACAGTATTTCCGCCTTTTTATAGTAAAAAGTGATCGACAGTGTTTTTGAAGACAGAACTACACATAACAACAAGAGCTCGAAATAATAGTTGATATTCTACTTAGTAAGGGAAATTACTTAGTGCGAGCTTATATAAACGTACGATAACTCACATCGTGAACTTCTTCAACTGCGATATAAGCCTCAGTGGGTAGCCCATCAATTTCTTTTCTTCTGACATCAACAACTACTAGAACTGAGTTCGGAGCATATTTCCGGAAAAGTTCGTTAATTTTAATATCGTTTGTACAAAGCTTAGGACCGGAGTGATACCAACCCACAATCTTTTCTCGAGCTATACCGGAATAGACTTATTGTAAAACGGTTACCGTTAACTTTTTTAAACATGGTAAACATGCTTTCCAAATAATCGTGGTCGAGAAACCAAACATCCGGATCAGTGGCATCTTCTTCGAAAGGAACTAAGACAGTAAGTTAGTCACGAAAACTTTACCTGCAAAGCTATTACTGACATCCAAAATGCTTCCATTTAATGAGCCCAAAAGAACACCTACAACTCTCTTCTGACCACTGGTGACTTTTCCAGATCGACTATAGTGATCAACGACCCCCAATAATACGAGTGGATGGACCACGACCTTTTTAATTTTTGTTTGACTGGGTGTTTTCTTTTTACCAGACTCATTTGCGTCACTATCCAAAGTCTAGAAGTAATTAAACAAAGTAAGACAATAATTACCATACTGACAGAGCACAACAACTTAATTAGCCGCGAAGATATTTGAAGGACATAGAGAAGGTTATACTCCAAACCCTGATTTAAATATCCAACATATTTATAGATCAATAGATTTATTTTCCTCAGCTACTTCGTGTATCTTTCCATGGTGGTACCTTTAGCTGCACTAGTATTAATGAATTTGATAGCTTTTTGAAGGTCGGTTTGTCATAATTTATGTTTGTTGTATGCAGTCGTGATGATGATATCAACACGTATCATGCAACATGAATATAGACAAAGTGACTGTAATTTCGAAGATAGAATGAGGTAGGATAGTGAAGATAAATGGATCGTGAGTGAACAAACAGACTTATCAACTGACCAAAAAACTAAGAAAGAAAATGTGTACATAATTCGAATATGATGAGGAATCAATTACAGGTAGACAAATTCCAGGGATGCATTCACACACGACAAATCAGTAGGAAAACTCCTTTGTATGCAGTGTACCATTATCACGTTAATTCTTACTTACTTACTTTACTTTCGCCTGTTACTCCTAATGGAGCATAGGCCGCCGACCAGCATTCTCCAACCCACTCTGTCCTGGGCCTTCTTTTCTAGTTCCATCCAATTCTTGTTCATTTCTCTCATGTTTACTTCCATTTCCCGGTGTTATGTGTTCTTTGGTCTTCCTACTCTTCTTTGACCTTGAAGATTCCATATGAGGGCTTGTCTTGTGACGCAGTTGGGTGCTTTCCTCAATGTGTGTCCTATCCACTTCCAGCGCTTCTCCCTGATTTCTTCCTCAACTTGGATGTGGTGTGTTCTCTCCCACAATAGAATGTTTCTGAAAATGTCTGTCGAAGTATTTTGCGTAGACAACTGTTAATAAACACTTGCATCTTCTGGATGATGGCTTTCGTAGTTCTCCAAGTTTCCGCACCATAAAGTAGAACTGCCTTGACATTTGTATTGAAAATTCTGACCTTGGTGTTGGTTGACAATCGCTTTGAGCTCCAGATGTTCCTCAATTGTAAGTATGCTGCTCTTGCTTTGCCGATCCGCGCCTTCACATCTGCATCAGATCCACCGTGTTCATCAGTGATGCTGCCCAAATACGTAAAGGTTTTTATGTCTTCCAAATCTTCTCCGTCAATTGTGATTGGGCTGGTGCATGCTGTGTTGTATCGGAGAACCTTGCTTTTCCCTTTGTGTATATTGAGACCTACTGCTGCTGAGGCTGCTGCCACACTGTTCGTCTTCTCCTGCATTTGTTGTTGCGTTTGGGATAGAAGGGCCAGATCATCTGCAAAGTATAGATCGTCTAACTGCATCCTAGAAGTCTACTGTATCCCGTGTTTCCCTTCAGATGTTGATGTCTTCATGATCAAGTCGATCACCAGGAGAAAGAGGAAGGGTGAGAGTAAGCAACCTTGCCTGACACCAGCCTTCACTTCGAACGACTTTGTTAATTGTCCTCCATGCACAATTTTGCAGTTTAATCCATCATAGGAATTCTGTATGATGTTGACTATCTTTTGAGGCACGCCGTAGTGTCGAAAAAGCTTCCATAGTGTTGTCCTGTCCACGCTGTCAAATGACTATTCGTAGTCAATGAAGTTGATGTAGAGTGATGACTTCCATCCAACTGATTGTTCTACAATAATCTGTAGAGTTGTGATTTGGTCTGTACACGATCTATCCTTACGGAATCCTGCCTGTTGGTCACGAAGTTGGGCGTCTACGCAGTCCATCATCCTGTTTAACAATACCCTGTTGAAGACTTTTCCTGGTATTGAGAGAGGAGTGATGCCCCTGTAATTGTCATAGTTGCTGAGATTGCCTTTCTTTGGTATTTTTACCAGAAGTCCATCTTTTCAGTCTGTTGGTACTTGTTCCTCATCCCGAATCTTATTGAAGAGAATGTGGAGTATCCTTGCACTTGTCGATACGTTTGCTTTCAGTGCCTCTGCTGGGATGTTGTCCAATTCTGCTGCTTTGCCATTCTTGATTTGCCTGATGGCCATGCTGATTTCTTCAATTGTTGGTGGGCCAACATTGATTGGGAGGTCCGTGGGTGCTGCTTTGATACTGGGTGGGTTCAGTGGAGTTGATCGATTCAAGAGTCCTTTGAAATGTTCTACCCAGCTGTTTTATTGCTCTCCAATGTTGGTGATCACCTCGCCTTCCTTGCTTTTCACTGGTCGTTCTGGTTTGCGGCGATTTCTAGAGAGTTTCTTTGTCGTGTCATACAGTTGTCTCATGTTTCCTTCTATTGCAGCCTTTTCCGCCGTCGTTGCTAAATCTTCCACATATTTGCGTTTGTCGGTTCTGATGCTCCTCTTCACTTGTTTGTTTACTTCTGTGTATTCAGCTTGTGCCTTGGCTTTTTCTGCTTTTGTTCGGCTGGTATTGATTGCTGCTTTCTTGTTCCTCCTTTCTTGAATCTTATCCAGTGTATCAACAGTGATCCATTCATTGTGATGGTGCTTCTTGTGACACAGGACCTCATGACATGTTGAAGTGATTGCCTCTTTGATCCCCTTCCAGTTGCTCTCCACAGTAGTTCCTTCTCCATTGAGTAGATCATGAAAGGCCTGGAACTTGTTGCTGAGGACTATCTTGAATTTGTTGAGTTTGTTAGTATCCTGGAGAAAGGCCGTATTGTAATTTTGTGATATTGTCCGCCCCGTTGTCCAGTGCTTCTTGAGTTTCAATTTCACCTTGGCGACCAGCAAGTGGTAATCTGAGACTATATCAGCTCCTCTCTTGGTTCTCACGTCCTCCATCGTCCTCCTGAACGTTTTGTTGATGCAGGTATGGTCGATTTGGTTTTGCGTGGTGTGATCCGGTGAAGTCCATGTGATTTCGTGTATGCGTTTATGTGGGAATATGGTGCCGCCGATGACCAGCTTATTGAAGGCACATAGATTTTCAAATCTCCCACCATTTTCGTTTCTTTCTCCCAGTCCGTGTCGTCCCATGATGTCTTCATATCCAGTGTTTTCCGTTCCAACCTTGGCATTTAAATCTCCCATCAGAATGGTCAGGTCCTTTGTTGGGCACTTCTCGATGATTGACTGCAGCCTATTGTAAAATTGATCTTTAGCGTCTTCATTGTAGTCGTTGGTAGGCGCATAGCATTGGATGATGTTCATTGAAATGCCCTCTTTCTTTGTTTTGAACGAGGCTTTGATGATCCATGGTCCATGAGATTCCCATCCTATAAGTGCGCTTTGTGCTCGTTTGAACAGCATCAATGCAACTCTTTGTGTATGTGGAGCATTTTCTTCTTCATGGCCGGAGTATAACAGAAGCTCTCCTGAAGTTAGTTGTTGTTGTCCAACTTGCGTCCAATGTGTTTCGCTGATCCCAAGCACCTCCAGGTTGTATCTTCTCATTTCTGCAGCAATTTGGAAGGCTCTCTCGTGTCCCACATTGTACGAATATTCCATGTACCTAAATAAATGGTTGCTCTGGTTGTCAGAAGGGGCATCGGCCTCGTGACTTCCAAAGGAATTCGGCTTTCATCATGAGGCGTCATAGTTCTTCTAAGTAAAGACCTGATTTCCAGGGCAGAGTTTAAAAGGTTCGAATAATTTTTTCTGGTTGGCGTTTTTTTTAGCGAGTCGCTAACCCCATGCACAACCCCCTCCTTTATCCGGGCTTGGGACCAGCAGTAGCCCCCGGAGGGACTCCAGGCGAAGTTACGTTAATTCTTATTCTTTTGTAACCCAAGAAGTACAATCTCAAGTGGTGATTATGTGTTCCTTTTTATCACACTTGAAGCATATGGCTCCAGGTGGTTTCAACAGGTTCTGGACGGAATGGAAGAAGCTTTCGCTTAGCTTCCGTGTCTAGTAGCAGTGGATCTCCAATACCTACAGGTACGAACCTAGATATATTCATCGATAAGAGAGAAAAGTGTTAGTAAATCATAATGAGATACTCTCCTTAGTCGCTTTGACTAGCTCATCTGTCAGTGAATTCCAGAATTTGACTACTCTAAAGGAGCTCCTACAGTCCATTCTGCTATGTTGTATCTTCAGTATCTGGGTGCTAACACTAGGGTTTGTTTTGGGACTAAGCCTAAATGGATGTCAAAAGCAATGCTTTGAAGTGTTTAGGATGCTGTAAGTCATTAGGTCACCTCTGAGATGCCTATTCCTCAAGGGATGAAGATTCAGTGGTTGGAGTAGCGCTTCATAAGACTTGAGTTTGAGTTCCTGAACTGATGTAGTGGCTCACTGTTGGATACATTCTATTATGTCCTTATCCTTTTGGAGTGACGGCGGAAACATCAAGTTTCCTCACAGTAAATGGAGTCAAATAAAACTGTTGAGGATTAAATGTAAAATTTTACCATCGAACCCTTTTCTTTACTTCACCGTGCATCTTTGTTTGTTTATCTGTTTCTAGACTGCCTATTTTCAGGGTTGCTGACAACTGTTTTCACAGACGTGTCAAAAAAATGATGATGATCAGAAAATCATCAGCATTCATGTTGCATGTACCCCATGCCCACCTGCGATCTGACTTATTAAGTCTACCGAAAACTGGAAAGCTGTTATAATAAAAGACATTAACTACTGAAATCAAGTGAAAGAAGACAATTACGTGCCAAACAGAAGAGTAAACATTGTAACCGTTGTTTTCTATCCACTTCTAAAGAGATCACGAGCCGTTTGAGGCTGAAGTAGGTGCTTTTCATCTCACAGTATAGTTTCTTTCGAGAAATCCGATACACGTGTGGCGAAACCGATTAGAATAAATAACTGCTTTGTTCCCGTATTTTGATATTTTGAACTTCTCGAATTTAGAATAACTATAACGGCTTTTCAACGTACAAACGGATGTAGGTCCTAATTAATGTCAAAGACAGATTTACCTGTAAACCCAGCAGTCTGTTAATGAAGTCAACGATACCATAAACAATAAATAAGTCCACCAGAACATTATCTTTTGTGTCTATGATTCTGTTTGCAAGATTTTTGTCACATCTCAGTTTCTGTAGTTCTCCTAATACTTATCCAGTCATCATTTGAGAAGTGTCTCATTGTCCAATCAACTCAGAAGCAGCTGATGTTATTTGTTGACTCAATTGTTGCTTCACTAATTCTTCAAAGTACTGAAGAACTCGAAGATCTTATGTTTAGTGACAACCTAACAAAGAGGCTCTTGAACAACAAGATCTCTATTGCTCGTTCAACTTCTCTGTACCATAGTTCTGTGTGGAAGATCTAGGTTTAACTCCATTTTCGTGCAGGGTTCATTTAAGAATATCTCTAGTCTGTTATTTTCCTGATGTTACATATTTTGGCTATTATACAAGTAGTGTATTTAGATTTCTCGAGCAAAACTATGAATGAGTTACTGTGTTCTAACATTCTCTGACACCAGTATTATTTATTTCCTGAATTCGAAGTTTTTATCTCATCTCCTGAAACAATGCACTGATCACATCTCAGATTTATCATTCGCTGTTTTGAGTATATTATTTCATCTGTGGAGTAATCTATCAAATTTCGACAATTTACACGCTTTGTCCGATGACGAGTAGTTCTAGATCGAGATACGATAAATGCCTACCGGTCATTGCATAGCCTTTTAATCCCCCGTATTCAGCTGAATAAGAGAACATACCAAGCGTGGAAGAAAAAAATATTTTGTAGTGATTTTACACAAATCTGGCTTAACATAATAAAGACTCGCACAATGTAAAACTACTACATCAACAAAAACTAAGTAAAATGTCGGTAAACTATCGCCGGTGACCTGTGAACAAAAGATAAAATAATCTAAATATCCAGCAAACATAGAAACAATAACATTTAACTGGATATTCCTACAAGTTACAGCTCGATACTGGTCCTCTTACAGTATATTACTTCATCAATCACTTGTGTTCTTGCCTAGAAATAATATCAGCCGAGGGACGCTAGTACGGAATTTATATATTTTTTACAAAGTATTTAGTGTCTTGAGTATCAACTCAAACTGTTGGTGAACAGCTTTTGTATATGGTTATTTTATATCTTAATTTATTCGGATTCCCATAAAAGTACTTCGTTCGATAGGCAAATACTACCTCTGTATTCTTCATTTTAGTTTTTAAACCGCATACTGAGGATAGCTGCAGCTCCTTCGACAGTTTTGAAGGAAACGACTCAGTAGGAACTTGTAGCCCAACATCCTTAATTGTTTGTTTCCATAGTACCAGTGTGTCATACATTCACACATAACATATCGCTTGCGTGTTTTCATAATCTAGATTCGCTAACAGAATCGGACACATAGGTGTAGGCCGTTATCGGAATCATACTACCTACCTAGGACTTTGGTGACGTTTCTCCAGGTGCTGAATTATGATTCTAGAGAGCGAATTTGAAGTGAAATTAGGAAGGGCCCCATTGTATGATGTGGCACGATTGTTTCGTTTGTCAGGAACATGCAGAATATCTAAATCGTTTATTACTTGTATTTAAAAACAAAAAAACCCTTACAATTCCTACAACACGAAGTAGGATCACTAAGGACTAGTACAAGTGGATATTTATTCACTCCAAAAACACGACGAATGTAGTCGAAAATTCACTCATATATTAGTTTGTATATCCACTGACTGTTAATTAGAAAAGTTACATAAATGAAGTTAAAGCAAAATTGCACGCTGCATGTCATACTGAACATAGTTCATGTCAATTCAATGCAGAGGATAAAAATAACCAAATGCGTCAATGGTCTACTGAATAAGATATCATAATCAAATAAAAACAGCCGTTACATTCAGTGATCATCATATTGAAGAGATAATGTTGAGAAAGAATCAAAACGTAATTCTGCCTTCGCTGTCATATCAATGATTAAAGTTTCGTCTCCTAATTATTTGGAACATTTATTGATATTGACAATTTTATTGCTCATCTTTGGAGGAAATCGAACCGGTCTGTTTACATAGAAGATAGAATATAATTCTTTACCAAACAGACAAATTTCTTCCAATTGAGAATCTGATCGTGTCTTGTGGGTATCTGTTGGCTGTGTATAGCTGCTCAAAATCTATTCAGTGCCACTTCGTTAAGATATATTGTATTTTTGATTTGGTTCGACGAGTGAATAGCTATTATGTCAAGGTCGATACAGAAGCCCAATTAGTAGTAACTAGCGATACATCCAGAGAATCGAATTTTAAAAACTAATTGCAACCTATAGCACTTCGGAACGACTTGCCTGACGTTAGATTTCGATGAAGTTCTAACCCCATATGAGGTTATAAGACTGATGACTAAATTTGCACGTTTAACCGTGTGCATTAAACGAGTGTGAGATTGATAGGCTAGCAATGTAACGGATGGAATATCTCGTACCAACTTTTGTTCATGTGACTGACAATACAACTTTTGTACTCTGTTTTCGACTTTGTGATGAAATCACGCGAACCAGTTCCATTTGGTAACCCAGGTGCGATAACTAATAGCTCAGCTAAATTCGGACCCGGTTTCTTCGTGGAAAATTGATCTTTCATCTCGTAGCAAATAGTTTTATGACGCTTCCCATGAATTCAGTCAAACTGATCCAATAAATCTAAGTGTCTATTATATATATATACTCGATTTAAATTACGCGCAAATACTTGAATTTTTAGTCTACTACCGCCGGAGGTCAATGAACTGGGGACCGGTATCGACAATGGAGTTCCTCACCTAGTGTCTAGGTTAGTAAAATTACAAACCAAAAGTCAGTCATATTTAACCTAACCACAGACATTCATACGAAAAAGCTAGACCAAACATTGTATTAGACGACATAGATAACAGGATGACAACTATCCTTGACTGTTTTTAAAACAGTCGGACCTGGAAGTTCTAGTTCTTCCATAGTAAAAAACTTTCTGATAGGCCTAAGCGTTAAACCTTAGCGGACAATTTGAAAAGGATCTAATTGTCTAGTCAGTTATCAAGTCTTTGGGCAAAGTCTGAATCTAATTTCGTGAGAAATGTACTCAAGACAGTTGAATATATCCATCAGTATATTCTGGGAAGAATTCATCTAAAAAAAATTCACCGACGTGATTCTACCATCTAATTCTGAGTACAGTTTGAAACGCTATTTTCACTGCCTATTTAAATCGTATTTCCAATATTTAATCTTAATTCTTATCACTGTAAAATTATCTCAACTCCTTTGCCATTCACCTTTCTAATTCTATATCGTTGTGCCGAACTGTTATGAACATTTGGGCTAACCCACATTCGTATCAAAGTTCACATTGATTATGTCTGGTTAAAAAAAATTTTAAAACTGCTCAAGATTAAGAATTAAAACAACTTTTAACTTAAAACACTATACAGTAGAAATTATAGCAGTAATTAAGTTATAAGAAAATTACTAATTAGAAAAACGAAAACAACAAATAGTTGGTTGGGGAAAAAAGTTTAAAAAATAAATAATCATGTCTGATTCTCTGTAAGTAAAATTGAAATAGTTCATTTAAAATTTAAAATGTTTACAGATCTTTGAAGATTTCTTTTAAGCAGTTTCTTATGTAAATGAATTTTGGACGTTCTGTACGATCAGCTGACCAGCATTTAAGCATTAACTGATAAATAGATTCTGGACATTGTGATGGACGTGTTAAACGATCACCGTGTTCCAAAAGTTTAATAATCTTTTTAAAAAAAAATTAGTAGAAAGATCTATATCATTTATAATGATAGAAAAATTGATTGAAATCAAAATATTTCGCAACAGATATAAGTCATTTACCTTGATCTGTATTAATAAATCTTGCTACATATCAATGTAGTAAACTTAATTTGATGCCTTCACAAACACTGGTTTGAATAACTAAAATTATAAGCAATATTAGCTTCAATTTACACATAAATAACAAACTAAATAACTAAGAAATTTATTCTAAATATATTTTAGTAGTGGAGATCATGAGTCAATTTAAGCTAGACCACTATGGAAAACCTGGAAGCACTGGAGGTCCATTTCGTCCTACTGTCCAGTGCTTCTAGGTTTTCCATATTAGTCTAGCTTCAATTGACTCATGATCTCAACTATTAAAATTACTATAATATCCACAAAAACCCCTTCTGATATTATTTGAAATACTTTATTAAAATAGTATTGCTCAATGCTAAATAAAATATCGGATTTTCACAACCTGAATATTTGAAGTCTTAACAATAAACTTCGGCTAAATACCACAATTAAGCTCAATCTTCTAGAATTGAAAACACCCATTTGATAAACATTTGCAATTCTAAATTATACAAATGAATAAAACTCGATTCTATTAAGTATTAAAACATAAAATGACATATTTTTTTTTAATGAACTGAAATTTCCAGAAAAAATACTCACTTCTGTATGACTTAGATCAGTAAATGGTTCAACAGCGAAACTGAAAACTTCCCATAAAAAAACTCCAAAAGACCAAACATCAGTATCTGTATGGAATTTTCCTTCTAAAATTGATTCAAGAGGTAACCATTTTATCGGCAAACATTCATTAGAAGTAGAGATAAAATCAACACCAGGTTGAATTGGTCTACACATTGAAAAATCTGATAGTTTGACAATTAACTTTTTTCCAACAAGAAAACTTCTTGTAGCTACATCTCTGTTTAGAATTTGTAAAAGTAATGAAAAATTTAGCAATAAAAAACAAAAACAAGATTTCTCAAATGTACAATCTATAAGGACTACTTCATGAGAAGCTAAATAGATAAGTTAATATATTTTGATAATAAATATATTTTTTTTATATCCCAATGAGTAGAAAAATTGCATTTCTAACGTTTCGTGGCTTAATTTAAGCCAATACTTCAGAGTAAAAGAGTGGCATACATTAAGTCACAAAACATTAGAAATACAATTTTTCTACTCATTGGGATATAACAAAAATAGATTTACTATTAACTCTCTACCCAATGCTCAATTCATTAAGACAATATGATTCGTAAAAAACATACGAATGGTATAATTATAACAAGTGATGTCAAAGTTGTACTCAAGTTTCGCATGTTAAACAATATTTACAAAAATGAATAAATGCATTAATTTTACCAGTTGCCTTGTTGATAGATGAAAATAGTTAGTTTAACATAATCAAAATGTGATGTAGAGATATTTTAAAATTTTTGATGAAGTTTTGTTCTCTGAGCTGGATGGTTTGGTCGTGAAGCTTTCATCGTCCTTCTGAACGACATCATCAGCGAAAATTTCAGGTAGAATTGAAGTGATCGAATTTCTGCACATGTGGTTCACAGCATGTCACGTACACCTCGATGTTGATTGGTTCTTGTTGACCTTAAACCTGTCATTGTTGATTTCTTTGTTTTGGTTGTATTTCCCATTGGTTTGATTTTTGTTCCAATTTACAGAACAAGCTGTGTACCACATGGGAAGAAATTTGAACAGTTCACTTCTACCTGAAATTTGTGCTGATGATGTCGTTCAGAAGAACGATCACGACCACACCATCCAGCTCAGCTACAAATCTTCTTCACTATTTAAAATTTGTCAAACTTTTATCATAATATAAACCGGTGTATGAAACACATTAAGTTTAAACTAGGTAAAACGATGATTGTAGGGGTTTTTTAACAAATCGATTAACTGATATTAAGTTGATTTAATCAGGCGTTTATAAACTCTACATTTCAGAAGAAACATTACACGTCATTCAATAACATTTTAATTATTTAGCTTATTCGAGATGAGTGATTATTTGACTTTAATCCAGTTGAGTTTTTCAAATAGACTTTGTATATCTTTTAGTACGTTTTTAATATAATTTTTATTCTCATTTTACTAATTACACTAATCAGTAAACCTTCAAGGATTCTACATCTCTGTTAATAGCCTTTCAAATGACAAATTTGTACATTGGAGACAAAATAATTACAGAACCCAGATAATTGGTTTGTTAGATTTTCTGAATTTTTAATACTTGTTGAATATATTCCATGAATGACCTCTTTGATACTAAAAAAACAACTGACTCATTAAAAGCGACTTTTATGAGGCGCTTTTTAAATTCGGTAATCTATGAGTACAAAAATACTTGGGAAATAATAAGCTAAATCTACGGATGTTGTCTGTTTTTAATAATTGGTGGAAAATAATAATGTACTTTTTTTAAAAAAAATAGTTAAGTCAAAGAAAATATTTTAGGTAAAATCACTGATTTGTTGAAGAGTCAACAAACTTGTAGAAGTTTATAAATAGCGAAAATGTTGCACGGTATTTAACCAATTAAATATTGATTAACTCAAATGATCAGATATGAACTTAGAGAAAAGGTAATTTTTATTGGTGCAAACTAAATGTGATCATCTATGTCCACTCATAAAATTGCTACAGAGTGTATGTAATATAAAATAACATATGATATATATATTTAGTTTCTATGCTCAAATTATTCTAATTCTTTTAAAAAGTCGAGGACGAAAAGTAAGAAACTTAGTGCAATGTGTGTGTGCAAAAAATTAAGATGAAATTTTCGCGAGACTCTAATTTAGGGACGACCTTCGAACGAATCCAAAATGACCTTGACAATTATTCGCCAATCAGAAGACAGTTAGTATAAAGTGAAAATATATTATAAGAAAGTAATGAATTACAGTGGATATTCTTCTTTTACATAATTTAAAAACTTGTTAAGGTTTGATAAAGGTTCAGAGGTCCTGAACTCATAATGCATATGGTATAGAAACTCGTCCATAGGGTTAGGGTGACGAGACTCTAATATAGGGACGAGACAATCAGAAGCGTTTGAGCAATTTCAGGGTCACGAAGCCAAGTTCAACACGTGATGCTAACATACGAACGGTTTACGGCGGATTTTAGAGAAGAGGTGATTATTGAGAGGCTATAACCCTAACCCCTAACCCTATGGACGAGTTTCTATACTATATGCATTATGAATTCAGAACCTCTGAACCTTTATCAAACCTTAACAAGTTTTTAAATTATGTAAAAGAAGAATATCCACTGTAATTCATTACTTTCTTATAATATATTTTCACTTTATACTAACTGTCTTCTGATTGGCTCGTCCCTAAATTAGAGTCTCGCCGAAATTTTAATGTAGAAAAAAGTATGACTCTTTACAATTATATGTACATAAAGCAGCAAGTTAACGGTTTAAAATATTCGATTTTTTTTATCATTATATTGTAGGCTCGGTTCCAGATTCTTTTGTTTTGACTCACACAGCCGAGCAATTTAATTAATCAACATAAAAAGTACAGTTCAAGACCAAGTAAACTTGATTACACTTTTCCAGTAAATGAATTAGTTACGAATTTATACGGGAACAATAACTGTATTACTAAATAATACTTTAAAAAGCCAGTGCATATGAGCATACATTTTCGTGAAACTAAGTAGAATGGGAATAGTTATTTTAGATAGAGGTATCAAAACTGTTTGTAAAGGACTATCCAAACAGAGACTCATTTCAAGAATGACAGAAATGAGATAACGTCATTTAAGAAAGTCCTTAGTTTAAAAAAGTATCGGTGAAGCAAGAAACAGTGCAGACAAAAGTACTTGAAGAGTAATATAAAACCAAATTTTATATGTATTTTAAACATAACCAATTATTTTATCAATAATTCACTGTTTAAAAGATGATAGATACAGCGTGAATTTATGCAGTAAAACAACACCTGAACTGATATGACTAATTCAATTAAACCACTAAACAAGAGAAAATGGAAAAGATGGAAGCGAAATCGTCAATTAAAAAATGACATGTAAATAGAAAATTAATAAAAAGGCGTCAAACTTATTTATATGAATAAACAATTACATTTCAAATATATCAAACATGACATCAAGAATGATTTGATTATAATCAGCTAATATTCTATAGTCCTATTAAAAAAAGCCTTTGTTAATTAACAACAAATCAATTATAACTGATCGTATACAATACATGAAGTGAACTACTAAAAATATTAGTTACGGACGACCATCGACTTTATGCACTAATAACAATAACGGACCACTAGTCTCCGTGTATTTCCTGATCGCTGAATCACAGACTAGATGACTGGTGATGAATTTATTTCGAGAAAATCCTCTACGCACACAACGATAGTAAAACATTTCAGGCAAAGAATATTATGAGCAAAAACTGTCTTGAAGTTCCTGACACCTGATCAGAGGCTGGAAAGGATGTAATCATGATTTGACGAATATGAGATTGAGATGATAAAACTGAAAATGAACGATAAAAAACGAAACAGCGATGCAGCTGACGTGACTGAATTCTAGATATTTTAAACAACGGATAGACGTTAGATACGTATTTTCACAAACAGAAGGTATTCTGAATAACATGAGAATAATCCACGCCGTTTTTATGGTCACAGTCCCTGTATTTATTGGACAGACCAAGTACACCAACCGTTCAAATAATATTATACTTATAATATTTAGCAAACCCAGTTAAATTATTTATATTACTTTTCAAAAATTCAATACATGAATGTAATCAGTAAGTAAAACCAAATAGGATAATATAATCAGGTGTAAAGTAGGAGAAAATATAAACCATAGATAAAAATTTTCTGAGGTAAATTAACTTGGGTGTCTACTCAAAAGATTTGAAATCTGAATGGTTAGAGCAGAAATTTCATGTTTTCAGTTTGTTTATCAAAATGACAAAAAATAAATTCATTACTGTACTGAAATTAGCAAACAAGTAACTAACTACTAAAATTGAAGATGGCGTGTTTCCGAGGTGACAGACGTGGAAATGCAAATGGAAGTACTTGGAGTCGCAAAATTGTCAATATCTGAAAAACCACCAACGAACAACAGATATATATAAGAGGCCTCCAAAACACTGTAAGACAACTTAGTTTGTTATAAAAAAGAATTATAACAATGTTACCAATCTTTACATTGTGTTTTAATTTGATTTTAGAAGACATTTCACGCAGCGTTACGATATAAACTGAATATGGATTATGAGAAAAACTCATAGTACCGGTGGAGAGGTTACCGCACCAGTATCATCCTTTCTTGAACGAAATTCCCTGATACTTCCATAGTATGATGAGTATGAAGAATTGGTATATGGATGTATTAAACAGTAATTATTCATGCAAGACAATCACTTGATAATTGTTTAACAGTCCTTAACTCAGAAAGATATGATATACAACCTGGCGAAGGCTCATGAATTCATATAGCTTTATTTATTTAAAAATCAGTATATGGATAAATAACGTGTACCCGTAAAATAGAAATCGTCAAATATAAGTAAATCATAATTATTATTAACAGATGCAACAGCAGAACATGTAGTTCAAATGATCCTATACACTCAGTATTGAAATAAGCTGATGAATGTCACGAGATAAAAATAATGCATATACACTAATTTATACATCCTCATAGATTATGAGCACACTTGAATTGAAATGAGAGTCATCTCTTTAGATTTAATTTCTAATCGATCGCTTTCACAATAAAAAAAACACTTTCATTGATGTATTGTTTCATTCACACTGCAAAATTAAGATAGACAGAAAACAATAACACATTTTCAACTAACACAATATATGAATTATAATGTTGATAAAAATACAAACAAATGATAGAACTAGGCTTGTATCTTCTTTTTTCTAGAGGTTGAGGATAAACGAAATTTAATTTTCTACTAGCTTTTTTTATGTAGATTTATATCATTAGGAAAGATAGATTAAACCCGTTTAATGAAACGCTTAAAACTTCAATATAGTTTCAAATATTGAAAAAAGAAAAGGTGAGTGATAAATAATAAGGATTGGCATGAGTTTATAGGTAAACAGCGTAAATGATACCAGAAGGAGTTAAGGTGGAAAAAAGAAAGAAATACCGGTACATTGCAAGCGAGAGGTTTCTTGTAAAACTACACGGCAGAACGCACAATTTCCTACGGCTAATCCCCTCCAAACAAAAATCTTTGTTAATAACTTTAGTTATTTGTTTTTTAGACAATCAGTTGGTCAGTCGTTTTAAGAAAAACAAGAATTGTGCCTAAAAACACTTATTCGAATGTTTATTAATGAATGGTACTGATTGAATTATTTATATTGAATAACGTTCAAGTGCTGTTTGGGATCAAATATTACCCATATCGAGACATCACCCTCATAGGATATTCGAAGGAATCAAAACTATTCGTTGATGACGTCAACGATATAAATCCTATTAAATTGCGATTGAGTAAAAATGACAAATCGATCGATGAGGTAGTGAATCTTGGATCAGCTGAGACGATTTGGAAATTGATTACGCAAGCCGAACCACTACCTACCGCGGCACGCAATGTTAGCTGGTGTACGTTGAGAGGAAGCCAACGAGTGGTATCAGGTCATGAAGTCATTAGTTGTTGGACTATGTCGTGCAGGTAGGTGCTGCCTAGTTGTTTGAGGTTCTCGAGAGCAGCGGTTGGGAATATTGAACGGTATACCTCATAACCGATCTGAAGGACGAAGATTCATCCACTCTGTATCTCCCTTTAGATTTTAAACTTTAAAAAAATATTTTTGCACTTTTTATTTCCGCAAATACAATCTTCCTTCTCAAGTTATGTTGTCAATGCCCAATGTTCTCTATTACCATCCATACTGTTTACTAGCTTTACTATTAATAATTTTATCCTGCTACGCAGCTTTTGTATGGTAACTTGAACTAATGCATGTATACTTTACAGGTTCAACGTTGTTTAAGACCAATAGCATAAATGAAGTCATTTAGCAGCATTCCTAATTCTTGCATATCATACTGTTTCATACCTGTTATTATTTCCTTATTTATTGTCGTATGTTACTACTTTAGCAGAGTTGTAATTTATATGTAACTAGTTATATTCGATTATAATAGCATTTACCTTTAAACCAATTAGTTGTCCACAAACCATCTAAAGGAACATTTTTATTTAAAATTATAGATTATACAAATTAGTAATTTTATTCATCCAAAATATCTGTCTAGGTTTTGACCTTTGTTATACACAAATTCCTTCAGTTACATTTACGTAACAATTCGTCCTATTATTTTGTATCTCTCACTTTTTTGTTGTTGATGTTTTACGAACTAATGGTTTTATTCCAGTCAAACGTTCATCTCAATGACCTCGACAAAAAATGTGACCAGTTTATATTTTACAAAAGTTCACACTATTTCCACTGATTACCAATCAAATCTCTTTTTGTGAAATTGGTCATTTATTAAGTATCATTACTTAATTACTTGTAGTCTGTAGATTGTATTCGTTACAGACTGATCTCATTTATATAATTACTACAAACCAGGAAGTGCTAGACAACTGCTTCATCCTAGTATGGGGTTCTTCAGGAGTGTGCATCCGTGATAGTGCCAAGGGTTAAGTCTGAGACTTAAAAGTCTGGTTGAGATAACCAAACCATCAGAACAACTGTGGCGAATTGGTCAATAACAGAGTAATATATATCAGGAGTAAAACAGCTGTATACTATTATTATACCTCATAATAAAATCATTCACACTGCACACATGTGATAGATAGCACAACATACTAGAATTCAATAAGAAAACAATATGAATGAAGATTTAGAAAAGACACTCTATAACCGGATAGTTAACATTACAATCTTTTAAAAAGTTACAAAGTTAACTGTCTCCAAGGTTTTCATAGACTAGCAAGTATTTGTTAACATTGTTTTTTTGCAGTATTCATCGTCAAGATCTTAAATTATAAAATAAAATATGCACTTACATGATACTAACCACAAAGGAATTTGAGGAGTAATGAATACCATTTTTTCTCTGATCTAAGGTAAAATTCACTCTACAAAACTTGATATACAGAACCTAATTATTATCTGATTTGACAAGATTTGTATAAAATAAAAAAAAATCGAAAGGAACACATGGTAGTGATAAGGAAAAAACGAACCTTCTATTATATTTTTTTAAACGAAATCTATGAGAATCATGATTAATCTTATGTAAAACTTTCCGATTGTTTTGTTTAAAGTGATTATCATATTAACAATGCGATATAACATGTACTATAATTGATTAACAAAAAATAAAGTAGAATGTTTATCTATCAACGATGGCTTGGGTGAACGAAGATGTTACCACCTTTTAAGTAAAGATAAGTTTCACCGCACAGCACCAACAGTTATTTTACCACATTGAAAGTTTTAGCAATCCTGAGTCAAAAATGAAGCTTATTATGACAACGAAACAAAATATCATACGTTATTGCTCACGCTGAGATTTTATCTTCAGTAGTAATAGTTTCGTAGTCTAATTAACGAAACTTTCAAATTATAATCGATAAACTTTTAACAAGTAATTTAACGCTTAACTGAATTCTAATTATCATCATATGAGAGTAGACTCACCTATGTACATAATGCAATTCGCTTAAATAAACCATAGCTTCACAAGCATCAATCACCATTTCAGTGAGGATTTTGACATTCAAATTGGTAGGATATTCATTAATGAAATCCTTCTTAGGAACCGTTGTAGTCTGTAACAAGGTTTGACTATATGAATTTACTATTTCCCCGTTGACTGCGCCTACAAGAGAATCTACAATGGGAAATAAATAAGAAATATACTTACTGTATCCTGGTGATTCACCGGTGTATCGGCGTAAAAATGAATAAAAATCACCAAAAGGCATATATTCAATAAGGAGTGAAAGTGGTTCCAGTGGAATACAAACACCTAAAACCAAATTACAAGTAAATGAATATGGATTAAAACTGACACAAACACACGAAATTAAAAAAACTTATTTAGTAAAATTAATCTAGGATAAAAATGAGCATACATTTGTGCCAAATTAATTGGATTTGATTGACGAAATGAATCTGGTTAATTAACATCGAATTAATTAAAGTACTCATTAGTTGTTTTATTTATTTGAACACATAAATATTGGCACAAACGGGCACCGAATACATATGCGCCACACAAGTCACTTGGTTTTTGTGTGGGCTGTGATACTGCCTGGGTGCCCAGACAGAAGCAGATGGTTTTTTTAGGTGGTCACTCCCAGGACATTGGACCTGAAGGTCTGATTCACAAGGCAGTGGAGCAACGTCAGGAGATGCAGTCCTCTCAATCCCGTAAACAGCACTTGCGCTGCGAGAAGGCAGTGAGTAGGACTTCCCTGGCAGTGGCTGTATACGCGTTGCCGTGCGAGAACATATCGAGAGGGAGAGCTAACTGTCCCCACCCTTGACCGTACCAGGGCATTTGGGGGTAATATATTCACAAAATAATGTATTGTGATTTTGTGCCTAATTAACTCTTCAGTTCAACCTAGAAAGTTAGTAAACTGAAAAAAATAAGCAAACGATTAAAAAGTGAAACAGTCCAATAATAATCAAATGCAAAATTGAAAAAAGTTACAAGATCTATTATCAAATATAAAGGTGGATTGGATAGAACAGTTTTACAATACCTAACAATTGTATAATATTTCTATGCTGTAATTCGACCAATATTTCAGCTTCACGAAGGAAATTAGCTTCCGCCTTCAGATTAGAACCTCCTTGAATCATTTTCAGTACAGCAATACAATTATTTGATTCATCGGAAGATGACTGGACTAGAAGTAAAATTTAAAAGATTATATATATATTAAAAGATAAGGTCTACAAGTATGTAATCGTTAAAACTCTGACTATCACAAAGATTTAATAATCGAATTTACGGAAGAAAATTATTTCAAGTATTATTAACCCAGTGAGTATACAATATTCATTATTGTTAGATATAATGATATCAAATAAAACATTGTTATAAGACTGATATTTTACTTCAAAGATGAGTAAAAGACTACATTTTGCATTGAGTTGAAAAGTTCTCTTTAAATAAAAAATGAAAACTAACAACTACACACTTTTATTTCATTAGGTTGACCTTCAATGAAAAACAAAAAAATTCTAACAGATCGATTTGATCGAAATCCCAGAGTATATGTGTAGTGGCTTAGTGGTTAAAGTATTTGAATTTAATTATTAATTCACAGGTTCAAACCCCGCTCCACCTGCTATAAATTAAGTAACTACGTATTATCGTTAGCCTTCGCACTTAGAGTGTGGCTCGTATCCAGGTACCAGGAAAATAAATTCATTTAAACTTTACAAAAAGTATGATGTATACAAGACTAGGGTTATACACCCATCAAATACAATAAAATTACATTAAGTTTACATTTAGAAAATACATATTACCTAAAAAAAGAGACTTTCTTTTTGTGCTCAAAAATACATCTACAATGATAAAACGTGTAAATTGAAAACATTGACGCTGTTTTATAATAATTCATCTAACAAGTACAAGTTTGCTTATCCAACATTCAACTTAACGATGTTTGTGAGAGCATCATGTGATAATAATCCTGACGTTGAAAAACTCAAATCTTCAACTCTGATGACTGAAAGTTATGTCCTTTAGGTATCATTCTATTGATCCAGGAACATTTAAGGTCAGCAAAGACTTTTGTCAAAATTTAAACGAACAGTTTCAAAATAGTCGGGTCCCGAATATATAGGAGACAGTAAAAAGGAAATTTTACTTGTAAAACCTCAAACGATTGGAATTAAAAGCAACTGTAATGTATTGCTCAGCAGTCTAGACTGAGATTTTTAAATATCTTAACATGATTGAAGATGTTTAGTACACATATATCTTGTGAACGCTATCTATATTCGATAATTTTAATGTTTGAATATTTCCCTGCAGACGCTTAGACCGGACTCCCAAGTGAAATGTTAAAGTTATTTTTGGTTTCAATCTCCGAGACTTTTATGAACATAATCTCTTTTCTAATTTTCGCTGAAGATAACATAAAAATGAAAGCAGAAAGGAAGGAAAGAAGCATCTTAAGTGAATAGTCCGAGTTACTTCAATATTATATCTCTTAATTGATAACTATAATATGATGTAAATCAGTTGTTTATAGTGAGGATTCATTCAAAAGGCTAAGAAAAAATAAATGTAAGCACTATAAAGGTGACTAATATATATCAATTCCTAGTAGGTAATATATTACTTATAATGTACAGTGAGCATGTTCATACAAGAGATAATAAACGATATGATAATAAAATCAATCACTATGGTCAAATACTATCAACTTGTGAAAAAAAGAACACCTAGAAAGTAAGGTAACTTTCTAAAAATGTTGAATAAATTTTTTTTAAGTGAAAGTGTCATAAATCCATTTACATACATACATACATATATATATATATATATATCTTATTTTCAGGGTATGCTAGCTAATTTATTTGATTTTCTAACATGAAATTAGGTGTTAAATTGATACAATATTTTGCATTTAGGTAGAGACAATAAAGTGAATAAGACAAGAAAACAATGCAAAATTTTACTATCTTCACATGTTATAAGACTGAAATTCAAAAAACAAGCAAATATCATTTAATGATTATTGAAATAGGATAGAAAAGTGCTGGTTTTAATATAAAATGTATACGTAAATCCCTGTAAAAAGGGGAACTAAAATAAATATGCTTCACACAAAATAAAAAGATATTACTGTGAACAAGCAAGGGAGAAAAGAGGAGTACAATCAAAAAACAATAAAGTGAACAAAAATAGTATATTATAAGACATACATTTTGATTAAAAACACAACCAAGAGAGGCTTCTTTTAGGTAAGGTAGTTGCTCTTAATTTTATGAAGAATTTAAAAGAAAACTACGACAAGATCCCCAGTGGTTTCAATTCCGAACCATGTATGAAAATTTCTTAAGCCACGAGTGGTAACATCTTCAGGACTCCGGCCGAGGAGTCGTGATGTACCAACGGATACCAGTCCTAGAGAGTATTTATTTATGCCAAGGCTTCATGACAGGTAACTGATAGGAAAATTCCGTTGAAAATCATTCCAGAAAGTTAGTGCAAACGATAATCTAAATTTAGATGAGCCATCTGAGTTGTAGCTAAAAGTCATTCATGATGGCAATTTAAGAGACCTAATGAAGAACATAACCTTCTCACAGATGATTTTGCTATTACATATTGGGAATGATGTATCTCTTACGAACAAAATCGTAAATCCACGTTTTAAATGGAAAACAGTATTGATAGTCATAATGTGAACTACCAAAGGTCAGTTGTATATGTTTTAATGATGAAACAGTTGAGAATTGTACAACTCCTGGCACTAATACTACTTCATTACTGAGAACGTTCGTGATAATAGTGTAATTTGACGAAAGATATACCAGCTAAGCTAATGAACAACGGACTGTAGATTTTTTTTTGTTTACAAAAATTTCAAAACAACTACGGCCTTAACAACAGAATATGCTTCCATTTACTTATAGAATACTTAACAATTACAATTGAGAAATAGACTATGCAATGATTTTAGACTTTTCTGATAACAGGCTAGTTATGGTTAGGTAAAAAAATAACTCGTATTACATTTTTTAAAGAAAACAATGTTGTTAATCTACAGTACAGAGAGATTAATTTCTAAATAAACTATGACGAAACAGCAAATGTCCATTATTCACATCAGGACCACATGTTCGATAACTGATAAAGGTTGGTTGGCCAAAAGTTGGATTTAAAATTTATCTAATTGGTTCGGTATGATGGAACTATAAATTTCAAACGTCATTTCGTTTAATGAGTATAGGTTTATGTACTACCTTTGAGGCATAAAGTTTGTGCGTGAGGGAGAGGTCTACATGAACAACAGCTGCCTAAAACGCAACAGATAATTGTGGACTATATCGAGGATCTAATAGTTATCAGTCAAATGTATCGACAATTTAGCCAATAATTCATACCATTATTAGTTTCCCTAATACGTGTTTAAACCAAGTAAAATGTGCAGTAATCAAATCGATCGGATAGTTACTGAGATACTTTTTATTAACATAAAAGCAGTTATTAATCAAAAACATTTAAAAAGAATTTTTAAAAATTCTATACCGTCAATAGTATTTTCTATTTCTTGTGAACTAGAAGAGACAAGACCCAGTCTTTCTGAAGTTGTTAAACTTAACAAACGTCTTCTATGGACTAGTTTATTCAAATTTGGAGCATGTACTAAGATGATCCAACCAAATGCACGTTTAGCTAAACAACATATTTCAACCAGACGATTGCGAGGATAGCACAGTGATTTAAATCTGGAACAGAGATTTTAAAATAACTGGAAATTATGTTATAAATTTAAACATTGATTACTGAGGAAAAATGTAAACATATTCTACTTGAAAAGTTTGATATGATGGATTTCAGTAACAGACAGTTAAGTCTCCTTTTTTAGCAATTAGAATCCAATTACAGAGCAAGGACTAATGTATCATTAGGCAATTGAAGTATTTATTCTACCACATCATGATCAGATTACTTTGTTAACAAACCATAAAAGAATGTGATCACATTCTTTATATAATATTACATTATGAGTATATATAAATAAGAAACTAAGTAGACATAAAGGTTTCTCAATCTGTAAATGAATAAATTATGTTAAGCAATCAACACTTACTTTGGATGTAGCAAGTGATTCATCGAGGCCACATTAAATAACTTTTCCGGTAATATGGAAGAACCTAATTCAGCAGACCCAGATGATAGTGAATAATAGGATGATTCAATCAAGCCAAGAGTAGTTGGAGAAAACTCTGAATCAACCTCATGGTCATCAAACAACACGTGATTATCTGAGCAAGAGTCACCACTAATAGGATGATCTGTAGTTACTGCAGACGGAACACCAGTTTGTTTATTTTGAGAACAACGACAAGATGAACATCTATCTGATAAAAGGTTGCTAGCAACTCCACAGATCACACAAGTATTTGGTGAAGAATCGATTGTTTTAGGAGGTGAGATAATTGTAGGCACATTGGTCACATAAACTACTGACTTATCCATTCGCATTCCCAATGTATTAGCCTCAAACTCTTCATCAATCAATTCATTTTTAGTTACAGGACAACTATGTACAAATTGAGTCATTTTGAGAGAATCGTGTTTCGATTTCTTTCGAAAATTAGATAAACAGAAACATGGGCAAAAAGATGATAAATAACGACTATGGCATACATTAGTCATAACATTTTGATTAGATGCTGAAGGTGTGTTTTTATCTTCAGTATATTGTGTAACAGCAAAAACTGAATGGGATTGACTAGCTGTATGAGATGAATGTGTGAAGTCAACAATACGATAATATGCTCCAAGAATACATTTGGAACATGGATTAAGTTGTCTAAGTCTACGTCGACGAGTTAATAATTTTCTACGTCGCTCCAAATATTTTTCTTTGTTAATTTCTGTAGAATCATAGAGATGCTCAGAAAATTGTCTCTTTCCATCATTTTCTTCGTTAACACTATTTACATCTGTAATTTGAGGCTTGTCAAAATCTAATTGAGAAAAGTGTATATCCGAATTTTCAATATTTTTTCTAGAACAACGATTTATGAGCCAAATTATACAACCGATGATTAATAAACAAATAACCAGTCCAACAATTGAACAAGCGATAATTGTCTAAATAGTTTGTCAAATAAAATTTATATGTTACAATTAAAATTAAAGCACACAGATATTAACTTATTTATGTCAAAACAGTATATAAAAAAATTATTTCAGTAACAATTTTCGTTGTGATAAACTTTCAGAACATCATGATTTGACAATGTTAGATATAAGAACAGGAATTTGTTAATCAAATACACTAGTAACGCTTTTACATTTTTATAACAATAATAGAATTTTAAAAAGGCACATAAAATTTCGGTCTTGCCCACTAAATTTTGTGTAATATAGAACTAAAGTATGTTTCATTATATTTTCCTCATCAAATTGTTAAAATTCATCTTGAATTAACTACAAATCATTTTCTATTGTCAACATATTTGTGAACACTGAGGTGGCAGTGAGCATACCTGATGATTTTCAAAATAGTGATCATTTTAAGTATTTTTTTATAAGAGTTGGTATTTTTTTAGTAACTCCATGTACACGTCACAAAATAAACACAATACTAAATATCACTAACTATTACTGGGTTAAAATTCAGTTATTTATTCATAAATTTAATTAATTCACTTTTAAGTAATAACAATGGCCACGTAAATGGTGATATGAAAAAAAATCATGAATGTATCACACAAAATGTTGGATTTTCCAAGATTAAAAATTTCATATCAGTTTTTTTAACTTCTATGCTTCGGTTACTTTGATGTAGATAAGAGGATCAAAACCTACTGATAGAATAATAGATATGTATGTCATTTTACTATGAAAATGAAGTACGGAGGTGGGAATACCAACCACAAATAACTAAACAAAAATACCTACTTAATTTGGTGATGGGGTAAGAACCACTAGATATGATTTTACTTTCAGCTAGTTGAAATTCAAAGTAAATCGAATATTTCATGTGGATATTTAGATCTTTCAATGATTTGATGATATATATGTTGGTAGAGTGTTTTCGCTTTACTCATCTATTACACTTAGAGCCAACATATGTAGGGCTTATTTGATAATACCTACAATCTACAAAACAATTCCATTGCAGTATAATAAAATAGTAGAATACTACTGAATTTTTACTGAAAAAACTTAATTCATGACATGAAACTATCTGTTAAAAAACATAATTACAGGTAATAATCAACGAAACGTGTCACGCATATATATATATATATATATATATATATATAAATTAGTAAACTTCTAGAGCAAAGATTACCAGAAAAATAGAGAACAAGGTGCACAGAGAGAACGAAAGACATACATATCAGAGCACTAAGTTATGGATATGTCTATGAATATAAATGCAGCTACATGTAGCACACAGCCAATCAGACAATTTAACTGTTCTGTACAAATTACAAGAAAGACCTCCGATATTTAAAGTAATAATCGATACAATTTTAAGACGAATACGAATGTAAAACACATATATTGACGTATATATATTGATGCTTATTTAGTAAATTTATTGATAAAAATGGTTAATATTCAGAACATTACTTTCCATATTAATATTGAATGGTAAAAACAATGTTAAGAGTGAGAACAATAAATACATTACATGTACTTTATATATATATATATATATATATATATATATATATATATATATATATATATATATATACATATACAATACTAATAATAAGCATTACAGTTAGAATAATGAGGAATCCGAAATGTAATGATACTAAGTCTCTCACATCTGTTGAAAGGTAAGGAATAAATACATTGATTTCCACTGTGACACAAGCTCTTCCATCAAGAAGTCCATATTTACAAACACAAGTTATTTAAATAAATTTCGTTTCGTAAAGAAATACACATCAAGTTTAGTAAATAACAAAAATGGAACATTTTGAAGGTTCAATTTACAATATCTATCAACTAAACGACTTTCTAAGTGAAATCCAATTAATTAGATTTTACTGACCAATGATAAATTATTGGACATATAAAGACTATTAACATTCACCATCCAATTATTTAGGAGCGTCATGGAGTCTCCTTTGAGTTTTTAAACACAAAATAATTAATATTCTGTTGCACAAATGATCTGTAAAAAAACTAGAATGCATAAATTCCCATTATTCAGTTAATACTTATTTTTCACTGGTTTCAGTAGCATATGACTAAATCGTAAGTGGTGGAGAAGAAACATTGAAAAAGAAGAGACCTACATATCACTGGAACAGGCAACATAACTACGGCAATCGACAATCAAGTGGTTAATATAATGTGAAAAAATAGAGTTACCGAAAGTCATACCAATAACCAACCTTTCAATACCATGCTTCCATGCGACGGTCTTAAAATTATTTACTTTAGACACAAACTTCAATATCTGTATTTATTATTGACTATATCTGTTATTATTAGTCATAACGAAATGAATAGAAAGCTTATATTGAGACCGGAAGCAAAACGGTAAACTTTTAATAACAGACTTTTTGTACAATTAATTAAATGTTTCATTATCAATTTAACCGTTTACTGCTAATCTGAAAAGAATTTTTTCTCTGCCTTATAATATTCGCATTTGAGATGATTAGAACATATTGTTTCTACATTTTTTTTTGATAGTTTTCCACTTTAGTGGATTTTTTTCTGAAAAGTGAATGTTATACCTTAAAATTTACTTTGATATTTAGTTAAGGTTGTTCGTTATCCTGTTTTTTGATAACAAAATCAGTGAAGTAAAAACAAACTAGTTTTGTCAATAACGTTTAATGCTCACGTTGTTCAAACTGATAAAGAACTAATCAATTTGTGAAAAAAAGAAGACTGATTAAAATAGATGAGGATAAAGCGATTTCGCGACCATCTACCATTGTCTGAGGTAGATGTCTGTCTTTAACACAGATTGGCTAGTGGATTGATTGAAGTTAGACATGACCACCGTCGGATGCCGTCTCATTGGTCTAGAGGTTAAACGTTTGAGCGCGAGACGGAAGGTCCTGGGTTCGAGTCCCGTGTGTGGGATAGTGGATGCACACTGCTTAGGAATCCCATACTAGAACGAAAGGGCCGTCCAGTCCTTCCAGGTTCTTAATTTATTATTATTATTATTAATGGCTTTATTCAATATTATCTTTTTGATACAATATAGAATTCTCATTAATCGACTCATGATCTCAATCAAAAACTTAATCTCCACAACTCCACACTGATTATTGACAAGACACACAATAAGAGAAATGCGCACCAATAGAAAAGATCTTATTAACCTTTATTTTTGTTAAGAAAGATTTATTCGACGATATAGCAATTTTCATCTTACAATGTTTCCAAATCAATTACAATGATATTGTGACAGTTCATCTTTTATTAACGTGAAAACAAACAATCCTTATCTAGGGAAAAGTTCTCTAACATAATCATACAAATGATGAAATCCGATGAAAAAAGATAAATAAATTTCTTAATAAACTAAAACAACGTAATTGTTTTGATATGTCGTATCATTGATTAACAAAGCCACATGAATGAATACACATTGTATTTAACTGTTAATAATAAAAAAATACTTCAAATGCTACCATAAAACATACCTGTAGCTGAGCCTCTGTTGTTTCTAGACCACTAAGCGATACATCACCAATGGTCCAGTTATGATGATAATCACTGTTATTACTGGTCTCTGAACACTGAGGAATTTGATAACAAGAAGTTAAATACCATTCTTCCAAGTGATTAGGCTTTGACTTCATAGATACTTCTGGAAAATTTTCTTTGTTGCCTTTTCGACTTAAACAGAATGGTCTTGATGCCAAACCAGACGGATTGCGACACACGGCTGACGAACTGGCTTCAAGACCTAAACTTCTAGGGAAAGTGAAACTGTTTAAACTGTAAAAACCAGGCCAAATACCAGGTTGTAGATTCTGAATATTATCATCGAGAACAAACAGATTAGTCCATGGTTTACATTCTGGCATAGTAGCTAAACCTCTGTAATTTTCCCCTTTGCCGTTGATGCAGTCAACTAAATAAAACAAATAATATACAGGTGCTTTGAAGATGTATTACACAAGAATTTTTTTATTATAAAAATGACAAAACTGAATATTCAACTAGCTCGAAAACAACAAAATAAGTATATAAATAAAAGTCATCAAAGTATGATATCAATAATTTTCGTTAACATTCATTTACATTATGTAACGAAAACGGATATATAACATTAAAAATATACATACCAAAATACCTAACTCAACGACATTGTGGTCATAATAAATAATAAACTTCAGAAATTATGACAATTATTTCAAAAACTTCTTCACAACAAGTTTATATCCAAAGCTGTTCATTAAGTGCATTGACTTAAATAAAATACTTTAAACTCCAAAACAGTATATCTTAATCCCCACAGATATAACACAGGTACAGGTGAAAGAATTAACTAAAAAGGAAAATCATAGATTTTATGTGCTGGATCGAATTTCTAACCGAACTACTAATTTATATTGAAAATTAGATTTCCAATACGACCAAATCTACATCTCAAGATGTGACTAAACTTGAAAATCCTCTAAAAGCAGCTGCCAGTCAGAATGTATTCGCTGAACGACCGAAAAAAAACATATACACGATCATTCCAAGAGTAATATTCACGTCCATAAGATCCAAGCTCTATCTACGGGTTAAAAATATTGTGATTATTCTGCGAAGGATAGTTTCCAACCTACACAAATTGAATTTGAAAATCTTATTAGTGAAAAGCATGATCTGTTTAACGTTTTCTTTCGAAATGTATTGCGCAAGTATATCACATAATTCTAATAAACTTCGTCTTCTCATAGCATTATCGAAGTTTTCTTTGGAATTATAACATTCTAATTTGACGGCGTTTTTAAGTTTATGAAAACAAGGCTGGAAAATCAATTTAACTAAAAAAGCACTCATCAGTTATAATGCATTAGAATGAACGGGAATATCTTACTAATCCGTCCGGATAAAGGAACACAAATAGAACCAAAAGATCATAGCTAAGTAACCATTTGAATCTATATACTATTACTGTTGAAAAAGTATTAACTAATCAAGTTACTGCCACTTTTCATACATATTTTTCTTATTCTGAGATTCTGTTGTCGGTGACAAGTAAGGAATTGAATTAAAAATGAGAAACTGGAGACATTTTTAACGGAATAATTTGAGTAAGTAGTATATTTGTGTTTATAATTGTTTGATAAATATATGAGTCTATAGAAGAATAGAAAGATATTACATGACAAAGTGATCCTACATTTGAAATGTTTAGAGAAGTTTGCATAGTAATCAAGAGGTTACTGAAGAACGGGAGAATGACAGTAACCACTTGTGCACTACTAAGGTGTTGACAATTTAAAAACTCAAGCCTGAACTCCACGAGGGATCTCTCGTCCTTCCATGTGCCCAATCCCTCTCTCCAGTGAAGTCCAAGTCATGTTTTTCTTTACATTCTTATTTTGTACTTTTAAACCGTAATCAGTTATTATAATTATTATCAGTATGGGGGTTGTGGAGATTGTTAAGTCTTTGGTTGAGATCATGAATTAATTGATGTTAGACCACCGTTGGAAACCTGGAAGCACTGGACAGCCGTTTCGTCCTAGTATGGGATTCCTCAGCAGTGCGCATCCACGATCCCGCACCACGCGGGATTCGAACCCAGGACCCACTGGCTTCGCGCCTGAGCACTTAACCATTAGACCACTGAGCCGGCATCCAATGGTGTTAGTGTCTAACATCAACCAATCCACGAAATTGCGCGACCAACTTCCATTGTACTGAGGTAGATACCTGTCTACCCGACACGAATTAGCTCCACTGGTCACGACTTCTCACTAGAACTCCGAGAATTCCCTCACGAAGCTAGTCACTAGTGAGCACATGTTAATTATCAGTATGGGGGTTATGGAGATTGTTAATTTTTTGGTTGAGATCATAAATTAATTGATGTTATTATTATTCGCTAACAATTGCTCTTGATTACTATTCAGTTGTTATCAATGTTCTTCACATTTGTTTCTCATTTCTTCATATCTGTTAAATGAACAGTTAACTCACGTATTCCTAATATGTCCATTATTTTCCTCATCTTATTCTTTTCCAACCTCTCGATCGTTACACAACTTTATTTTGGTATTACAGATGTCGGATCACTTTCATCATGTAATTTCTTTCTATTCTTTTATAGACTCATATATTTATCAAATAACTATAAGCACGAATATAAAGTTAAATGAAATGATTTCATTGAAAAGAAAATTTTCTTTGATGTTATTTACTAACACAATGTGTTACATTAATTAGCGTTAGATAAGATTGGAACTAAAGCTTTTGACAGTTCTTAACATAATCATGCCAATACCAGTTATACAGTAAGCTTAGCCAATATTAAATGATTTTTAGATAGATAGAAAAACCAAGTCATTCATTTCAGTAAAGAATCAGTCAATGCACGTAAAATGTCGAATTCATGTGACTACTTCATAGTATCAATAAGCTACATAAATTTCTATTAAATTATCTCAAGCGATTAAAAAGTTAAATTCCGTTAAATATTCAAGTATATAATAAATAAACAACTATATACGAGTGCACAACGTTTATTATCAATAATCATCTATTAGAAAGAACAATATTAGTTAAAATACATTTGTAAAAAGTGATTATAGCCAAAACAATGCAGTGTTGTAATAGTGTATATCACACACTAGTCATCGAAATAAATAGTGATCTGTCAACAAGCGGTAAATAAAAGCATTAGTTGTTTTTTTTCAGATAATTAGTAAAATTTATAGTTTTTCCCAATCACTTATCAACAATACCGGTAACAACAAAAGAAAGAGATGTTGGATTGAAAAGCAATCTTGTTAATGAATACTTCGATAATCTATATCATGTAGTAAAATATCAAATTATTAACAAGAGAACGGAGATATGAAAATAGCTCATAGTCAAACAGTAAAAGCAAAACTGAAAATACCTAATAATTAATGAGGTATGTTAAGTAAAGATCGTGGAAAATTTTATAGAAAGTATGACAAAAGCATTTCCGTAATTAAAACATAAAAATGACACTCAAGAGGTTAAAACCTGATTAAGGCTTGTTGTTAAATATATTCAAAAAAAATTCGCACTCTCCTTGGAAAATAGAACGCATCAAAACAACAATAACTGATCCAGATCAAACGCGCAACCTACAAAACAATAAAGCCTACGGTAAAAAGTATCTTCACTGTTTCGGTATTGAAATTACATCGTTTTATTAGGCAGAGCATATCGGATGTTCACTTGTAGATTATTCATAAAGATATTGTACTTTGGTATGTCCTGTATGAATTCTACAAATATATGAGAGCCACACCTCACGTTAACACGACGGATACAGAAATCGAGAGGATTAGAATCAAAATCAGTAAAATGGAAAACTGATCACGGAAAATATAATTCAAACAGAACAAATGAGATACATTGTTTCACTACAGAAAATGGGCAGTTATTTAATGAATTAAACTTTTTAACTCAACCACCGGGTGCCTGGGTGTGACCTAGGCTCTAATTGTGAGGGGTAATAATACTATCCGGTTGCCAAAAACGAAGTAGGTGGAGTGAGGTTCGAACCTCGGGTTTAGTGGCTGAAAGTTGAGCGCCTTTAGCATTAAGTCACCGTTCCACATCAAATGAGCTAATGATATATTTCTCATATCAATACGTTACTTAAGAAATCTTATTCACTTCCCTACATCACAATTATAATGGAAAATCGGACACAATAAACAATGATCTAAGAGGAAAACCATAATCTGGTCAACATTTACTTATTGTTAATAAAACAGATACAAATATTATCAATAAACGAAAGAAATACTATTTATTTCAGTAGACTCTAAAAATTCAACATATTATAGTACATTGAAAAGTTTCTTTCCAAGGCGATTGACCAAACATGCAAAAACCTGTTGAAAATTTAGTAAAGTGACAAAAACTTACCATTTTGTTCATCAGGAGTTTTCTTACTTTCTTCAAGGGAATTTGTTGGATTTTCGTTATCAATAGGTAAACGAGTGCAAATAGACTTTTTAGACGGTTCAAAAGACATAATATCACTTTTAGTTGATGAACAAATGTAAAAGGGATTTGATGTCCCACTGGCTAATGGATCGGAGAAACTCAGTGGAAGACTTTGATTTTTGGCTTCCGGCACATTGATCAGTTCTGACCAACCCGTTTTTACAAAATCAGAATTCATTAAAGATTCATTCCGATGAATGTCGAGAAGTCTATCCAAAGCTGAATTATTCAAGATTTTTAACGAGGAGAAGCAAAATAGGCCTGTAACAGCGAGACAATGTTTCCTGTTTTACGAAGACGATAGAATAGATGTTTACTAAATTACAGCACAAAATAGAAACTATAAACAATCTACAGATAGCTCTTTAAAAAAAGTTCAAGTTGAAAAAATATACTGGACTTGTCACTTCCAACAACTACGTGTTCCTCAGCTAGCGGTGTGTGTTGAAACGAAATAGGCTCTTAATGAGACAAAATCAATTCTTTACAAGATATTTAATGAATTCACTAATGGGAAGGCGGGGCAAGTAACAAACTACTTGTTAGTAGGTGGACAAATCGTTAGAAATTTCCTTTATGTTAGTAAATTAGGTCTTTTCTGTGAACAATGAAAAGTTATTTGAGGGGAGGTAATTTAACGATAAATTCATTTGTCCTAATAAGTTTTAAAACCAAATAACCAGTTTAAAATCCCTTACAGTGTAAAATATAGAAAGGTTTTCTATGCCAGACCTGAGAATATAGCTATTATTTTTAGAACAACAAACAAAATAGAAACTGTTCCAGTCAGTCGGTCGTCATCAACGTAGGATATGTTTAGGAAGCTTTATCTATTCAAGCAGGTATAATATCAACACGAGATGAGAAGCAAGAGAGGAATTAACTTAATCTGAGATGAAAATCGACAAGAGCCAATAAATTGAAATTGAACCGTATCAACTATTTAACTATAGCTCCACAGCGAAATTACAAAAACACAGCATTCCGTTCAGTCAAAAAAGGAGAAACTAACAGTAAAAACCAACATGTGCAAGGTAAACAGAGTCGAGAGAAAATAAACGAAATGAAAACACGAATGGTTAAACTGTTTATTTTGTCATAGCTTTATCTAAATAGATCATATCAAAGGTCACAATCGTTCACAAATAATTGTTTCACACTTTTTTAAAGTAACTATTACACGCAATTACCGTACAGCTATTGCAAGAACTAAACAAACTTAACAACGTATAGCTTAAAAATTTACCATATAATGGTTAAATAAACTCCTTCAGTTTAAAGTACGTTCATGCTAAATACTTAGAGTACTTTAAAAGAATTTACGATTGGTATGCGGAATTTTAAATTTTCAGATGACAACGTATAAATTGTAAAAGTAAACACTTCGTCAGTAACAATGTGACTCTATATAAACCGTAGATTGGACAAATTAACACTTTTTCTAACAATATTTTAAGTCGACCATTTATGTGTTCCTAAACCCTGCAGTGTTGTTGTCTGGTTTAACTAATTTAATCTTCATCTGTCCCGTACTAAGTATAGAGCCTAACTTTAGATTTGAGATAGAATTTAGAATTGGAAAATTGATCATTAATACTTCAGTAAACTTCATGTGGGTGGTTTTATAATATTTCTGTTGATATGTCTAGCAGTGATTTTACTCTAGGAACAGGTAAAGACATTTTTTTTCAAATTTACCAGTTCTAGGAATGTTGTCGTTCCTGATTCACTTTGTGGAACATGTATTTTAATTAGTTTATTATTATCCCGACCGAAGCTGCTACCTTGACGCGGTGGTCGGGCTTGCCTATCGTGATGACCCAACCGAGCTATATTGGCTGGAACATATGTTCCTGTAGGTTCTACCATGCCAGGTAGGTCGATTGGAGAACGGTAAGACTAAAAGCAGCAACTCAAGGTCTGAGGGCGAAGTCGTACTGCTGACTGTAGAGGGGTGTGGCAGCAGTAAGGTGTTTCCCTCAGACAACCAGCATCAGCAGCGATGCTGCCTTCCTACAAGGAAGGGTGGGGTTAGAAAAGATCAACCCTAAAAATGTCACACCTCACCTTACCTCACGGATTTCCGTCTCCGGCGGTAAGGCCCTTTGAAGAACGGAGCTAACACATTAAAAACCTTCCATGAAAAGGCCGTACGCGACCGGCCTCAAGCAGTTGTCCTTTGGGCTCTGCCGTCACGCTCTCAGGTCGTCAAGACCAACACTAATCCAATTTCCTTTTCAGGTTTCTCAAGAAATACCCTTCCACGGTGTGGGCAGCCGGGAAGTGATATCAGCCCTCATACCCGTAACAGCACACGAGACCAAGTTGGTCACATTCAAATCCTTCCTACACCTCCTAATACCTCTCTTATCTTCATGACTAACCCTCCTCACGTCTCTTTATCACCTCGCACCGCTAGGGCAAACGATACGCGTACGCGGAACACTATTCCTGGTCTCCTGAAACCATGCTCTAAACTACACGTAGGAACTTTAAACATCCGAACACTGTGCCAAATAGGACAGCAGGCTTCCTTAACTAGGACTTTAGAATCCCGCGCTATCGATGTGTGCTGCGTCTCCGAAACGCGCATACAGGATCCGAGTAGCGTCATTCATTTGGCATCACCATGTCAAAATAAAGAACCAACTCGATTCACGCTTCGTGTATCTGGAAGCCCTGATTCTGCCTCGCCGGTGTAGGTATAGCATTGAGTCCTAGGGCAGAACTAGCTCTCGTAGAGCGGATCCCAGTAGACAGTCGTTTGTGCGCTGTCCGACTAAACGGAACAGTAAGGATCCGGAAAGATAGGGACACTTGTCGTCGCCCTTTCGTCGTCTCTGCCTATTCTCCCACTGAATGCAGCTCAGATGATGTAAAAGATGAGTTTTACAGAAAGCTCTTCGACCTCCTCCTAAAAGCTAGGCGCTGGGATATAGTAATAATGGCCGGTGACTTTAATGCTCAAGTAGGTAAACTAAGCGAAAAAGAAAGACACCTAGGTGGATCTTATAGTATCGTGGCTCAAAGAACAGATAATGACGACCGTCTGTTGCAGCTATGCTCAGATAACCGCCTGTTCCTTGCAAATACCAACTTTAAGCATAAGGAAAAACATATTTAAACATGGCGACCCCCTAATTCGTCCCAACGTTGGACCCAAATAGATCACATCGCTATCAGCCACCGATAGAAGACTGTCGCTCATTCTGGAGCACATGCTTAGATTCAGATCACGCTCTAGTACGAGCGCGTATTTGCCTGCGTCTTACTGGACGTAGGAAAGACGCTGCAAGTAAACCTTTTAGGGGCCTACTTAATGATAGTCAAGCTAAGAGTATATTTCAGGAACAACTAGAAAAACAGTTAGGCAGCCATGTATGTGATGCCCACCCCGACGCAGCATGGAATGATATCCGAAAAGCTGTGGAAACAGCAGTGATATCTGCTAGTAAGGTGAACCAGAAGGTTAGGGGGCAACACTGGATCTCACCAGCATCTATAGCACTGATAGATACTCGGAAACTCATTCCACCTGGCTCTGAACATAATGAAGAGCGGAGTCAGCTTAAGCGCAAGCTGACAAGAAGTCTACGCAATGATCGTGAACAGTGGTGGGTAGCGAAAGCAAGAGAGATGGAAAAGGCAGAGGCAATAGGTAATAGCAAACAATTGTTCAGACTTGTTGAGGAAACCGACTGTTGGCGAAACAATCTCAGAGAAAGATGGACATAATATTCATTCTCAATCCAGGAGATTGAATCGATAGGCAGATCACTTTAGGGATCAGTTCAACTGGCCTTCAGCCACACTTCGGTTTCCCATGATCTCCAGTCAACCTGAATGGCAAGTTAATGTAGGTCCTACATCTCTTTACGAAGTTGAAAAAGCTATAGGAAATCTGAAACGAGGGAGAGCAGCAGGCCTTGACAGGTTTACTCCTGAGATTTTTAAGAATGGTGGTCCAGTATTAGCAGTAACATTAACTGAAGTCTTAGGTAGAATTTGGGAACTGGACGTAATCCCATCTGACTGGTCCCAATCACTGATTGTGCCAGTCTATAAGAAAGGACAAAAGTCCTCTTGTGACAATCACAGAGGAATCAGTTTGATTAATATAGTGTCTAAAATATTAGCCTCAATAATACTTCCACGCCTAACTAAAGCTCGTGAAGAGCAGATTAGAGAAAACCAGGCTGGTTTTAGACCTGGACGTGGTTGTATAGATCAGATATTCACACTACGTCAGGTTCTAGAACACAGACACACATTCAGACGCCCCACAATGGTAGTATTTCTCGACCTTAAGGCGGCATTCGACTCTGTTGATCGTGAGGTTCTATGGCAGTGTTTGTCACTGAAACGAGTACTAAAGAAGTACATTAACCTTATAAAGGCTCTCTACTCGAACACAACTGGTCGAGTGAGAGCTTATGGCGAACTGTCGTCAGAATTGATTACCTCAAGTGGTGTTCGTCAGGGCTGTCCACTCTCTGCATTTTTGTTCAACTTTGTCGTTGACGTACTTTTAGAGATAACACTCTCCTCGTCTATATTTCCAGGGGTTGAACTTCTACCGGGATGTTCACTTGTTGACTTAGAATATGCTGATAACATAGTTTTATTTGGCGAAGAAGCTGACAAAATGCAGAGTGTTCTGGCCACTCTAAGCAACAATGCAAGCATGTTCGGCATGCGACTCTCCCCATTCTCGAAATGCAAAATGTTGCTTCGGGATTGGGTCGCACTGACACCCGAACAAATGATAGAGGTGAAGTAGTTGAGCATGTCGATCGCTTCACTTATCTTGGAAGTCTCATCAGCCCTTGTGGTCTGGTGTGTGACGAAATCTCAGCATGGATACAGAAGGCTCGACTAGCTTTTCCAACTTACATCATTTATGGAGTAGGCGAGATATCCGTCTATCAACCAAAGGACGGATTTACTGCACAGCAGTTCGTTCCGTCCTACTTTATGGCAGTGAAACATGGCCGGTAAGAGTAGAGGATATCCGTAGGTTACTAGTATTTGATCATAGGTGTCATCGAAACATTGCTCGTATATCCTGGGACCATCGAGTAAGTAACACAGTTGTTAGGAAACGGGTAATAGGTAAGGATGGCGAATCAGTTGGTGAAGTAGTAAAACTTCAGTGAGATAGCTGGGATGTGTGATACGTTTGCACGACAATCCAATGCCCCGACGAGAGATGTTTAATGGTGTAGGAGTAGGATAGAAGAAAGCTAGGGGCGGCCATACCAAAACATGGCACAAGTCCATGAAGTCACTGACAAGTAGACTGAGTCATATTGGTAGGTGTAGACTACCTGGTTGCGGACCGCGAGATGATAGCAACCGATGGTTAGAGACCCTGAATGACATGGCTCAAAATCGTTTGCAATGACGCAGGTGCATCCACTCTTTGTGTTCTCCCAAATTCTAATCTTCTGAATACTTCATGTCTCCCTCTTTTTTCTCTTTCCAAATTTATTTCACTGGAGTATACTTTTTGAATAACATCTTCAAACCCTAATTTTTCTGGTCACGGCTTATAATTTTACTACATCTAGCACTACGGGGATTTGAATCGATCACTGCATCTCTGTGCTAATGTGGTATGCCAACTCGAACTGATCTACGTTCGTAAGAAGTTCTACGTTGTTACTGACTGAGTTTATTATTATTCAGCTGTTATACTATTCAAATGAGAACTTCCATGGACATATAATCATAATTATTGATATTTTAGGTCTATCCTATGAAAGTTAACCGTAAAATCAAGTACCTGGGGCATTTAGCTACGACTGTAACAAAGCAACATCAATAAATGCAATATCTTCTCGACCAAAACTCATTGAAATATTTACAATATTTCATCTCGGTATACTGGTTTTATCCTGAGGATTTGAGATTGTTATCAATGTTAGTTTAAGGTCACATTTTTGAAAATGCATGTGAGTTTATGAAGTTTATAATAATTGATGGGGCAATACTTTAATCTTTATTTGTTGTGTTCAACTAGTATTCCATAGACTGGAGAAAAAAGGTTACTTCAACCGAGAAATTCTGAGCAGTTCTTTTTCAAACGATTAGCATCCAGGTCAATTTACAAACTACACAATCTCAGTAAATTCGAGTCTGACCGTAATATGAGTCGTTTGTCAAGCACAGGATTGTGTAAACTTCGAAATATTTTGTTTGACTAACGATCTTCGCCAGTTGATTAGGTAGTGATATGCATATGATTGAAAATTAAAAACTCCAAAGACTAAGTCTAAATGTGAACACATTTACGATACAATAATTCACTTTTCTAGATTTTGATTGTAGTCTATTTGATTTATCCTTACGATTTCAAACTAGTTGGTGAAAAGCTTGAAACCCATTTCACTCATAGTAAATTTGAGGAGGCTAGTTACTGAGGTTAATTTAGTATCAATGAAACGGTATTGTTCACTAGTTTATTTTCTTTGCAAACCTGTTTTTCACAAATACATTTTATTCAAAGAACAAACAAGTATATTATTCATAACCAGCTTATAATTAACAACTCAATAACAAAAAATAGACTTCTACAAAGATTTAACTAAACAATAAGCTACTTATAAATAACTTACAAACAAACAGGATATTCAATATATGAATTGGCAAATACAGATGTTGATTTTCTATCAGTGTTAGTAATTTCACATCGAGGATAAGATGTAGCACAAGTTAAATGCTTAGCCAAATTAATACATCTCCATGCAGCGCTACTACTATTAGATAAACTTATCGCATCTACAACATGATTTGATTTTATAAAAGATATATTTGAACTTTTAAAAGAATCACTGAGATAATTATTAGATTGAGATAAATGCATTGAAGATGATAGCAAATCATCCCAGCTGGTAAACAGATTTTTAACAGCTTGATTACTGATTTCATTGGAATATAAACGAGATCGTGAAATTAAATAAGGTTCTTTGTATTCATTAGCAATATTTTCTATAAATGGATAACATACGGAGGATTTCGGTAAAATTGTAGAATACGACTGACAATAAGAATGTCTGAAAGTAGAATTTAAAAAATTTAAGTATTTGAATCATTTCATTGAGAAATATATTTATCTCAACTACGTGAAATTAATATTTGAGGTATAGAATGAAAAATCTCTGACATTGTTCAATACTACAGTCAATTTCCATTTGATCAATAATAGAAAACAATGAAACAAAAACAGATCTTGACAAATTTATGATGATTTATTATTAACCCTTTCAAATCATTAACAGATCCTATTGGAAAATAGTAGAAAATAATAAAGTAATAGCTTGCACAACTTAGGAAGTAATTCAGTTACTGGTCTTGTTTTGAAGAGTTCTTAAGTATATGTACACTAAAATGATTTATTATGTGAAACAATGGGTAATATGAGTTTTGGAATATGATAAAATGGAAAAACGAAGTATCAACAGTTGCTTTGTGGTTTTCCTCTTCATCTTTGACTGATTATTTGTTGTAAATCATGATATCTTGAATGAATAATTTTGCATAAGAATAACTGTGTTAATTCCTTGATATATTCAGTAAAGCATGCCTACGGGTATGCCTCCTGACAAGTCACCAGTTGGTTCAAATGCTCGATTATCAATTCAGCTACCTTAATCATCTCAATAAGTTATAAATCTTCATACACATAGTTCCCTTTTTCATTTTAAAAAGAGCAAGAACAAACATTCTAGCAGAATGGCATAAATTCATTTTTATTTCGTTGGTTGTCGTCAGCCTCTTACAACCTGTGATATTTAAAAGCATTCATCACATGATTGGGTTTTATCCCAACTATCTTCCAAATGATTAACCTTATTTTATCAACTGAACTCTACTCATTTTATTCCTATCAATGTTTACTTGTTTCTAGCCGTTTGAACTGTTGTCACAATCAATGTTGTAGATTGTTCTTTTACATAAGGTATATAGTTACAATATTCAGCCTATTAAATTTATTTGCACCCTTGCTAAACTATACTAATATGTCTTCAATATAACTCCAAACTAAGCCATCTCATGTAAGTACTTTAAACCCATTATGTAATTATGATTTTAAATATCACAGGTTGTAAGAGGCTGATGACAACCAACGAAATAAAAATGAATTCATGCTATTCTGCTAGAATGTTTTTCTTGCTCTTTTCAAAAGTTATAAATCAATTGCAATATCATGACAAAATACCAAGATTACGGTCACCAATAGGTTACACAATGTTGATTTGGAAGTGGTGAAAACTATTGATTATTTTGGATTCAATCAAATTTGAGAAAGTAGAATTCCAATTCTCAATATTTAAAATATTACCATATTTAACAAATTATTGAATTGTATTAAAATATACTACGAGCCTATTTAATTGAAAAATAGGCCCAGTTCATTTCAACCATATACTATTTTTCTTGGAATTATCGATTACTATAATCGATGTTCCACCATTTATGCAATTTAGCATTATAAACTGTCAACTTAAGATATTTAAACCTTGACGCAAAACCAGAGTATGATTAAACAACAAAGATATGTAATTTAATTTACAGATATCATTAGCAAAGTATATATCAGTCAGTCAGTCAGCTACAACGTAGGACCAGGCACATTTATGCATCCGTCCAAGTTGCCATACCTCGTTAACACAACAAGATGGACACCGGATTCATAAAAGTAGTTAATTCAGAGGTGGTAATATATAAGAGAAAGATTGCCGATAGAGATATAGTACAGGAAAAAAGAATTAGTTCGGAGAAAGAAAGATATGAAGCAATTTTAATCTCTTAGTATAAGGGAAGACAAAGAGTGTATACACCGACACCATTGTGATCGATTCTGAGCCATGTCACCAAGAGTCTCCAACCATTGGTTACGACAGTCACGCGGACCCAAACCAAGTAGTCTGCGTCTACCAACATGGCTCAGACTAGAAATTAGTGACTTCAAGCACTGATGCCACGTTTTGGTTTGGCCGCACCTAACTTTCTTCCAACCATCCCCTACCCCGGTTAGCAATGCACGTCGTGGTAATCGGTGTTAGGGCATACGTAACATGTGGCCCAACCATCTCAGTCGCTGAAGATTCACAACCTCATCAACTGATTTACCATCATTCCCAAATACCCTGCGTCTAACCTCCCTATTACTTACCCGGTGATACCAGCAGACGCCAGAAATATTTCTGAGGCATCTGTGGTCAAATACTAATAGTTTACGAGTGTCTTCTACTCTTAATGGTCATGTTTCGCTGCCGTCAATTAGAACAGAACGGACTGCCGCGCAGTATACTCGTCCTTTTATTGATAAACGGATATCTCGCCTTCGCCATAGGTGACGTAAGTTGGCAAAAGCCAAACGAGCTTTTCGAATCCGTGCTGAGATTTCGTCAGACACCAACCCATTAGGGCTGATCAGACTTCCAAGATAAGTGAAGTTTTCAACGCGTTCGACTACTTCGCTCCCTATCCTTAGTTCAGGTGTTGACGCAGACTAATCCTGAAGCAACAACTTGCATTTAGAGGGAGAGAAGCGCATTCCAAACATTCTGGCATTGTTGCTTAGTGCTACCAGAAGACTGAATTTTATCAGTGTCTTCACCAAACAGGACTATGTCATCTGAGTATTCTAAGTCGATAAGTGGACCTCCAGGAAGGAGACCAATACCCGAGAATTCAGCAGACGAGAATGTTATTTCCATCAGTAGGTCTATGATGAAGTTAAACGAAAATGGAGAAAGTGGACAGCCTTGTCGAACACCACTTGACGTTGCAAAAGCAGATGACAGTTTGCCATAAGCTATTAAAATTAAAATTGTTTTATGCAGATATCTGTTTTAGGTTAGATCTAATAAAAGTCAGACAAGTAAATATAAGGAAATATCTTTCGTTCTCAATTACTAACACTTCAATTAACATAACAAAATAGTGAAGAGCAAAGCAATTGAAATAATATCATTGATGGTAAGGAGAAACTAATTTAGTAAATTTCGATAGTGGCATCTATTAAATATTTTGAGTTAACAGATTGAAGTTAGACATTAACACCGTTGGATGCCGGCTCAGTGGTCTAGTGGTTAAGTGCTCGCGCGCGAAGCCAGTAGGTCCTGGGTTCGAGCCCCGCGTGGTGCGGGATCGTGGATGCGCACTGCTGAGGAGTCCCATACTAGGACGAAACGGCCGTCCAGTGCTTCTAGGTTTTCTATGGTGGTCTAGCTTCAACTGACTCATGATTTCAATCTGTGAGATAAAATAAGTTTAATAGTATTTGTCAAAAAGTGACTTTTATTATTTTTTTTACATGTTCATCATTGTTTTGTAATTCACATTGTACATTGACCTACTGTCTACTTTCAACTATTAGATTAAATTAAAGGTAAGTTGTTAACAGAGGACATAGATATTTGTCTATAATATGAAAAAAGAAAATCATAGATACCTTTGTTTATCGAGTTCAAGTTTATGAACAGTTTTGAGTCACATTTTTTTGTGTATATTTTAAGTGAATCCTACTCAAATTGACTTTAGATTATGTTGATGGTTTACAAAAATTCTGAAACAAACCCATGACTTCATAATGTGATCGAATTAAAAGTTCAGTTTAATATAATTTGACCTTTAAAAGTACTAAAACATTTGTCTGATATAAATTTTAATGTTATCATTATTACAAGTAAATCGCAAACAAAAAGACATTTCGTTTATTTGAATGAATATAACATTTAATAACACTAAATCATTTAAACAAATCAGTAAGAAACGATATTTCTATGAAACAGAATGAACTATTTATTAAGTAAAGAAAAAAATCAGTCACAACGTAAAACGTAAACGAATAAACATCGGTTTTAAGTTGGCATACCCCAGTAGCACGGAAATACAATTGTTCAGACAAAATTACGAAGTAGAGTTAGTAATAGTATGAGTGGTAATAGGAAAGGTTAGGCATCGAAGATACGACTCTAGGAAATGTAAATTAGTGAGATCAAAACAAAAAACAATATGAGGAATCTAGAATTTAGAGGAGGACAAAGAATGGATGCACCTGCACCATTGCAGACGATTTTGAGCCATGCCATTTAAAGTCTAGAATCATTGGGTATGATAATCACACGAACCCCAACCAGGTACTCTATACCTATCAACATAGTCAAGTTCAAATGTCAGTGACTTCATGGAATGATGCTGTTTTGGTTTAGTCACTCCTACCGGTGGTTGGGCATACGTAACACATCCCAAAAACCTCAGTTGATGAAGATTCATTACCTCATTAATCAATTCACCATCTTCACCTAATACCCTATTCCCAACCCAGGCTTTGGTTACTTACTGGTCTCAAAATGCCTCGAAGATGCCCATGATCAAATACTAGTAACCTAAAAATATCTTTTATTTTTAATGGATACGTTTCATATCCATAACGTAGAACAGAGAAAACCACCGCGCAGTAAACTCGCCCTTTGGTTGAAAGACGGATATCTTGCCTACACTACAACTAATATAAGCAGGCAGAAGCCAATTAAGCTTTCTCATTCCGTGCTGAGATTTCGTCAGACATCAGACCCTTGATACTGATGAGACTCTCAAAATAAGTGAAGAGGTCGATACGTTAATATACTTCACTCCCTACCACTAATACAAGCGATGACCCAAGTCAATCTTGAAGTAATATTTTACACTTGGAGGGAGAGGATCGCATCCCGGACATGCTTGGAATGTTGTTTAAGGTGGTCAGAAGACTGCATTTTGCCAGCGTCTTCATCAAACAGGACTATGTCATCTGCGTGTTCTAATTCATCATGTGAATCTCCTGGTTGAAGACCAATCCTTGAAAAGTCAGGCGATAAAAGTTATTTCTAAAAGCGTGTCTGCGGCAAAGTTAGACGAAAATGGGGAAAGCGGGCAACCCCAACAAACACCATTTGAAGCAATCAATTCAGACGATAGTTCACTCGACCTGAAGTGTGTGAGTAGAGAACCTGTACCGGGTTAGTGTACTTCTTTGTTACATCTTTCAATGTCAGACACTACCACAAAACCTCATGATCAACGGAGTTGAAAGCCGACGTCCAGGTCTAAAACCAACCTAGTTTTCCCGAGTTCGCTGTCCACAAGATCTAGTTAGATTTCGAAGTATTATTGTGGCTAATATTTTAGACAGTGAATTAGTTAAATTGCTTCCTCTGTGATTGTCACAAGAAGTAAGTAAATGAACACTTAAATAATCAAACATTTGAAATAGAACAACTCAAGTAGAAATTTCAGCTCTCGAATGTAACATCGGTTATACATTGGAGATAGAGAGTAACCTTCATTTACAACTGATTGGTCAATGAGTAGGGATCGATGTCGTGTTTCTCAAAACCTTCTTAGTGTTTATCAAATTCTGTCAATCAAGTTGTAATGTGTTCACTAGTCTAACTTGCACTATTCTGAGATGTAGGATAATGGTTTAAGGTAGTTGACACGGTTTTCTGTCGACTACCTCAGATCATCACCACCTTACAATAACTTTCTTATAGCGCTACATCGATGATGAACATCTAATTAACTCAACATGTGAATACGTCAATCTAGATACGAACATTTTATGAGACTCATATGTTTGTGTTATTGAATATTCTTTTAGTACTAATCTCCACAAAGTTTATGTATTTATTTAAATTACAAAAAAGTTGTAGAATGATAATCTAGTTTTCCTTGGACTCCAAAAATCCAATTAATACATATCAATATTTATGATAATAAAAAAGAAACTAAAACTGACCGATCTGAAACTCCGTGTTTGATTCCCCAAGCTTTAGAATCTAAAATTTTAAAAAATAAATGGTTAAATCTCTTAATTTGTATGTACATTTCCTTTTTTCTGTAACTGAAGCAACTCAAATAACTTTATAGCATTTACTTAAAAAAAACAAGAAAAAACTAAGAATGAGACTGAGAAGAAAAAGTTTGAAGCGATTAATCACGAGATTTAATATGAATATAAAATTGTTTTTTGGAAAAATACATTAGTAACCTGACCAGGACGAACTGTAATGTAGGCCAAATCATGCACCATACCCAAGGAATTCTGAACTTTACACTCCACAATTGAATCTTCGGTAATGTTATGTTCCATTTCAACAACAATCTTAAAGTCATAAAAAAGAGTTATCAGGATATTTTAGTAGGTGAATACTTTTTGGACGAGATAATTATATAATATTTAGGTATATGTACAATAATTCGATTGAATAGAGAAAATATACAATATCTAATGATTAAACAGTGCATTAGATTAAGTTTTGAATATGCTTTTCATCATCTCAATAAATCAGAACACAATAACACCTGATGTAGATCTTCATCTGCACCGTTTGTCATTATTATATTTAAAAACTTGGGAAACTAAAATTTAATACAAAAAGGCGTTTTTAAATTTTTAGATCATCTGCGCAATATGATAAAATCAAGACATTACACTGCAACGAAACAATTGTCATAGATAATATTGGTCTTATCGGGATGTCGGGTTTTTGTATTTTAGGTCAATTAGAAAATCATATTACACTTTTCCTGAGAATATGTCTCGAAAGACACCCCAGTAAAATCAAACATTTTGCCGGAAATGAATTTACTGCAAAGCAAATGTTCACTCATATACATATTTATACACTGGTTCGAAAAGTAATGCATCTTTTGAAACTACAAATATGTATGAGAGTAATAGATAAAACTACGAAAACAATTCGTTTTCAAGTGAGGATGAATTCTGATCAAAAAATCGTACTCTGACACAGTTCCTGCCATCGCATTGTAGTAAAGATTCTCGTACTAAATAAATGGCATGTTTAATCAGTAAATGAAAATATAATTTAAAAACGGATGAAAATTAACTACCTGGAATGTGTAAACAAATAGTTTAGGCGTTTAACATTGAAGAGACACAATATTTGATATTTTCAGAATGGAGTTGTAGAGATTGTTGAAATCATGAACTGATCTAAATTATTATTGAAAACCTAGAAGTACTGGGTAGCTTTCTCATCCTAGTGTGGGACTCCCGGGCAGTGCGCATCCACGACCTTGCGGCTCGAGATCAAACCTCTGTGGTCATGTGACTTAGGTGGATTCATAATTTCAATGAAATTCAACAAACTCCACAACCTCATACTGGGAACTATCATGTCCTGACTAGTGACGAGCTTTGAGAGGAAAGTTCCGGAATTCTAGTGAGGAGCCGTGACTAGTGGAGCTAATCAGTGTTGGGTGTGAGGCAGTTACCCACCGAAGAAAATCGAAGATGGTCGCGCAATTTCTTGGATTGATGTCAGACATTAACACCGTTGGATCCCGTCTTAGTGGTCTATACGTTAAGTGTTCACGTGCGAAGTTGAGGGTCTTGGATTCGACCACAGGATGCGGAGTCGTTAATGTACAGTGTCAAGGAGTTCGATACAAAAACGATACGGTCATCCAGTACTTCAAGATTTCCAATGGTGGTATAATTTAAATCAGTTCATGATTTTAATAAAATATTTGATAAGATGTATGTACACAAGATAAAAGTAGAAAGATTATCTGAATTCAACATTGTGATTAACCTGATTATTGAGTATCATTGTATTCTCTCTAGGATCAGTCCCTCCAAAAATGCACGGGAATCTGTAGATAGACCCCCAGTCTACAGTAGCATTATGCACTGTCTCTGCAAGAAATGCTTTAACTGTTAAAAAAAGATAAACAAGTCGAAGTGCAAGTAAGGCTAAAAAACTACAAATGATTATGATATATAATTAAACAAATTAGATCTCAAGTGAGTAACCAGAGATCAATCAGTCTCTACTGACAACTTTAACAACCACCTTCTGTAAACAGACATCAAACTTACTGATTCGCATTTCTAGTATGACAATGTATATTAATTGAGACTGTTGAGGAAAGTAATGAACCTAAGACAGTAGCTTTCCTTAGCAGTACTTAAAATACATATCGTTGATGACATAACAGTCAGGTGCTTGAGTGTATGGAAAAGGCCTTGTTACATTACTTCTGAAATTTAAGCATCCGGAACTGACAAAAATGATCACTCTGTGTAACTTTTATAAAATAATCATTTTTGACAAGTATAAACTCTGAGAGCACGAAGACACTGTCTGAACTGACAATCACTGGAATAAAACTTACAATTAACTGAACGGATCACAGACGAATTTCGAGATGCATAACTGTCGGACATGCTAAAACCATGGCTAAATCAACAAATATTGTGTATTACATTTGTTAGATTACTCATTTTACTTGGACTGAGACTAATCTTAAGACTGAGGGATTAGCCAATTGTTTCCCTGTACTTGGATATTTGGACAAACAAATAACTAAGATCGACGTGCGGGCATAAACACAGAAATTAATAATCATATTGAATCCCGTTGGGATATTTCAATGCCCTTACAGTACCATACAATCATTTAACGAACTCCATAAAACCAAAAGAAAATAAGTGGGAATTTCGACGAAAGGATTAGATAAACATTAAGTTACACAGTTTATTCATGATAAATAAATTACTGCTGTCAAATTAATTAACAAAAACGGATGAGACTAGTCATGAAACCTTTTTCAGCTGATGATTGAAATAATGGGACCTGTAACCTAGATTATATGCACCTTTTGCTACCTGAGTGGTATACAGATTCATCATTTTTCAAAATTAAGATAAGCAAAAATTCCATTTACTGCCAAAAGTGACTGTTCTAAAGATGATGTAGTTAAAAAATAAATTCGGATATTAAAAAGGGAATAAATGAAGTAGGAAAAATACTCCAAGAACTGTAATTCAACTATTTTCCTCATTTTCTTATAAATAAAAGCTCCGAGCCAGAATGTCCATTGAAGTACTACTACCAAATAATTCTTGCCTTCCATTTCGCCCCAATCCTAAGTAACCATTGACATCTCAACAGAATAAATGGAATTAAATTCATTCAGATTTTCCAGTATATGATTAAATATGATTCAAGAAGTGAGTTCTTATTAAGGATCTAGGTTTACTATAGAGATCATAAATGGCTACCATACATGTAAATAATATTTTACAAAAAAATAATTACTTAATGCTAACAGGCTACTTATCAGATGATCTTAAACATACACAAATATTACATACCTATTGGTACGAAGTTGTACACAAAAATAAGAGATGAGTCATTCGTGCCGTTCGGATAAGAATTGTACGAACGACAGCTAAATATTCTATCTGCATTTTCCATTCGAAGTCGAAAGTCTATACTTCCATTAGAGTGCATAGTAACATTATGTGTAGCAAATTCCATTGGTTTTTTGTTGTCGAGCCACTCATAAACACGGTATTTACTGTCCCCGATTCCACATGACAAAACAACACGGTCACCTACAGGTGCCGATATCAATTTGTATTTTGGTTTTGATGTTTCAGTACATGAAAGCGAACAGAAATATACGAACACTGAAAAAAAAGAAAAAGAGTAAGCGAAAGCAACATAAAGTTGAAGGTAGTTGACAATTAACTTCGACTTAATTACATGCTGCTGTGTTTTGGGAGTACGCGAAAAACCGAAGAACTAGACAAATTCAGAAGTTAGAAAAATCACTATTTTGTGAGTCGTTAATTTTGAACTAAATGAACCATGAGAATAAAGGCCGAAAAGTGTAACTTGACAATTTCAGTAAACTACTTTGAGGTGAGTACTTGAAGTTTTAATGGAAAGTAGTGACTCGTGAAGTTTGGACATATCGAGAGCGAGATAATCATTGCCTATGTCGTAAGAGGGTTATAAACTGATGTGTGTTGGAAATAAATATAATTTTGTCCGAACCTACTAATATGATGATTAGGCGCTTGAGATGGAGCCTGAATTGTCATGACGAAACGAATATTTTGAAAGTTGGAACTGACTCATCGAATTATTAATCATAATTTTTTTGTATAATTACATATCGTAAGGTTTCGGTTGAGCCATTAACTACTGTTATACACCTTACTATTCTTAATTTGTTCCCAGTCTCCTCTATTCACAGCCACTTTTAGCTTGTTCATTTGTAATTGTTATTTTTCATTTTCTGGTGTGACACAGTCTGCTTTGTCTATGTGAAAAACTCGTCTGTTTGAGATATAAATAAAGTAAACGCTGGTTGCTGACTACTGAGCTCAAGGCTGGAGACAGAGAAGCTGGCGAACAATGGAGTAACAGGAGCCTAGCTGTCAGCACAAGGCCGACAGTGCTGGTCGGACGTGTAATTGACAAAGTCACAGACACTGAGTTACAGTGTAAATAATAGACCGAATTAGGACCAAGATTCGGTATGTGATTGTCATCAGCGGTCGCAAGACATAACATGAAGGTCCTAGAACAGATTTTTGAGGGTCATGGTTGTGTACTTCTGGGCCCCATACGAGAAAGAGACAGGTAATCAGAGTTCCTTGGTTTTTAGTGGTACTCCGATTGAGGTAAATTTGTGACGAATACTGCTTATAAATTAAAACGATCTCCATGATATTCTTCGAAATTTATATACTTTGCACACCAATGAAATATATAGATCAAAACGACGAAGTACAAAAAACATTCAATGGGTTGATAATTATAGGTATTCGAATGCGTTAGTCTCAAATAACACCCAAGAATCACCAACAGATATTAACAAAGCTACGGACTACTTAAAAGGCGTTAATTAATAACCTAAGGCATACTCTTTACAACTTAGCGTTAATCGAGTTAAACGACAGTGACTTTTGTCCTCCAAAGATAATCCACAATCCTACAAATAAAAGTAGAAAACGTCTGTTATAAGCTATCAGAAAGAACACTTTCCCAGTATTATACCCCCGACCGTTATTGCTACCTTGACGTGGTGGTCGGGCTTGCCTATCGTGATGAAGCAACCTAGCTATACTGGCTGGAACAACCGTTCCTCAAGGTCCTACCATGTCAGACAGGTCGGTTGAAGAACGGTAAGACTAAAAGCAACAAACCCAAGGTCCGAAGGCGAAGTCGTACTGATGACTGTAGAGGGGTGTGACAGCAGTAAGGTGTTTCCTTCACACAACCAGTATGAGAGCGATGCTGCATTCTCACAAGGAGGGGTCGGGTTAGAAAAGGTCGACCCTAAAAATGCACACCTCGCCTTATCTCACGGATATCCGTCTCCGGTGGTAAGGTCTCAACAAGTACGGAGCTAACACAAAAATCATTCATAAAAAAGTCGTGTGGCCGACCTCGAGCAGTTGTCCCTTGGGCACTGTGTTCACCTCTAATCCAATTTCCCTTTCAGGTATCTCCAGAACAACGCTTCCACGGTGTGGGCGACCGGGAAGTGATAACCGCATTCATACCTCTAACAGCACTCAAGACCACTGTATTCATAGTCAATCTCCGTCTTCACTTCCCATTATACCTCCTACATCGACTTCAAACTCTAAACTTCCATTTTCGGCTTCCCCCTCAAGTGTCACCATAACCAACGATTCTAGTGCTCAAAACACTGTCCCAGGTCTACTGAAACCTCGCTCCAAACTACATATTGGAGCCTTCAGCATACGCACCCTATGTCAACTCGGTCAACAGGCTTCTTCGGCTAGAACCCTAGAATCTCGTACCATAGATGTATGCTGTTCCTCTGAAACACGCATACAGGATCCCAGTGTGCTCATTCACTTGACCTCACATAGCCAAAACGGAGAGCCAATGAGATACACCCTTCATTTATCCGGTGACCCGACGGTCAGCTCTCGTAGACTGGCAGGTCTAGGCATAGCACTAAGCATGAGAGCGGAGCAAGCACTGTTAGAGTGGATCCTCGTTAACAGTCATTTATGTGCTGTTCGGTCAAACGGCTCCGTAAGAACTCGGAAGGATAGGGACACACGTCGTTGCCTTTTTGTCGTTTCTGCCTACGCTCCCACTGACTGCAGCTCAGATGAAGTAAAAGATGAATTTTACAGAAAGCTATCTGAACTTCTTCAGAAAGCTAAACGTTCAGACTTTAATGCCCAGATAGGTAGTTTAAACCAAACAGAAAGGCATTTAGGCGGGCATTTTAGTATTCCGGCACAACGAACAGATAATGGTGATCGTCTGCCGCAACTGTGCTCAGAAAATCGTTTATTTTTAGCAAACACAAATTTTAAGCATAAGGAGAGACATCGTCTAGCATGGCAACCCTCTACACCAAACCAACGATGGACTCAAATAGACCAGTCCTGAAGCAGCAATTTGCATTTAGAGGGAGAGAAGCGCACCCCAAACATTCTGATATTGTTGCTTAGTGCTACCAGAAGACTCGGCATTTTATCAGCGTCTTCACCAAACAGGACTATGTCATCTGCGTATTCTAAGTCGATAAGTGGACCTCCTGGAGGAAGATCAATACCCGAGAATTCAGCAGACGAGAATGTTATTTCCATCAGTAGGTCTATGATGAAGTTGAACAAAAGTGCAGAGAGTGGGCAGCCTTGACGGACACCACTTGGGGTTGCAAAATCAGATGACAGTTCGCCATAAGCTCTGACTCGACTAGTAGTGTTCGAGTAAAGAGCCTTCACAAGGTTTATGTACTTCTGAATTACGCATTTCAGTGACAGACACTGCCACAGAATCTCGCGATCTACAGAGTCAAATGCTGCCTTTAAGTCAAGAAAGACCACCATTGTCGGAGGCCGATAAGCATGCCTGTGTTCTAAGATATGACGAATGGTGAATATGTGATCGATGCAACCACGACCAGGTCTGAAGCCAGCTTGATTTCCTCTCGTTTGCAGTTCACTGGTCTTAGGTGGCCGATAATTATCGAGACTAGTATTTTAGATACAGGATGATTTTGACCCTCTCTTATACATTGGGACGATAAGTGATTGCGATCAGTTAGATGGGATAATGTCTAACTCCCAGATTTTAGCTAAAATATTAGTCAACCTAATCGCTAAAATTGGACCACCATCCTGAAAGACCTCTGTAGTTAGTCCATCTGGACCAGCTATGGCTTTTTGAACCTCAATTAGAATCGGGAAGTCTATTTCAATATTCCATTCATGGTGTTTGCGAATAGTGGGTAGCTGTAGAGTAGCTGAAGGCCAGCTGAACTGCCCCTTAAAGTGTTTCAACCATCGTTCTAAACGTCTGGACTGAGAGCAGATAAGTGTCATATTTTTTGGCGATTGTCTCACACTTGGCTTCTTAATTTCGGTTTCTGTTATTAGTCTGAAAAGCTGTCTTGTGTTACCTAAAGCCACCGCCTTTTCCATCCCTTGCTTTCATCGCCCACCATTGCTTACGACCGTTCCGTAAACTTTAGGTTAGCCTACATTTGGTTTGTCTTCGCTCGTCATCGTGTTCAGAGCCTGGTGGGGAAGTTTACGAGACTACCAGTGCAACAGATGTAGCATAAATCTACTGGTTTTTCACAACCCTTTGATTCGAATCAACAGATGTTGCTGTTGTTTCCACAGCTGTTTGCATATCCTTCCAAGCAACATATGGGTCAGCCTCGTTTTCTAGATTGCTAAAATGTAACTCCAGTTGTTCTTGGAATTTACCTTTGGTTTTCTCATCGATGAGTTCAACTCTGATGGGTCTTCTTAATGTGGCTTTTCTGTATCCAGCGAGGCACAAGCGAATGCATGCTCCTATTACAGCATGATCAGAGTCTAAACATGTATTCCAGAACGAGGGGTCTCCTACCGATGACTGATGGCAATACGGTCTATTTAAGTCCATCGTTGGTTTGGTGTAGAGGGTCACCATGTGAGACGATGTCTTATGCTTCAAATTAGTGATTGTTAGAAACAAACGATTATCTGAGCACAGATGCAACAAACCGTCACCATTATCTGTTCACTGAGCCAGAATACCACGATACGCACCTAAATGTTTTTCTTATTTGGTTTAAAGTTACCTACTTAGGTATGAAAGTAACCTGCAACGATTACAATGTCTGAGCGTCTGAAGAAGTTCAGAAAGCTTTCTGTGAAAGTCATCTTTTACTTCATCCGGGCTGCACTCATTGAAAGCGTATGCAGAAACGACGAAACGGCAACGACGTGTGTCGCTATCCTTCCGAGTTCTTACGAAGCTGTTTAGCCGAGCATCACATAGGTGACTGTTAAATGGGATCCATCCTAATAGTACTTGTTCTGCCCTCGTACTAAGTACTATGCCTACACCCACCAGTCCACAAAAACTAGCCATCAGGTCGGCAGATAAATGGAGGGTATATCTCGTTGGCTACCTGTTTTGGCTAGGTGAAGTCGTCAATGACCACACTAGGATCCTGTATGCATGCTATAGAGACACACCATACATCAATGGTACGAGATTCTAGAGTCTTAGCCAAGGAGATTTGCTGGCCGACTTGACATGGGGTACGTACGTTGAAGGTTTCAATGTGTAGTTTGGAGCGAGGTTGCAGTAGACCTGAGACAGTATTTCGCGCACTAGAATCGTTGGCTATGGTGACAGTTGGGGAGGACGTTTAGAGCCGATAGTCGAGGTAGGAGGAATAATAGTAATTGAAGAGAGAAATTAATCATCAATACAGTGGTCTTAAGTGCTGTTAGATGTATGAAGGCGGTCATAACTTTCTGGTTGCCCATACCGTGGAAAGACATTTCTTCAAGAGGTACATGAATAGGAAATTTGGTTACTTGGTCTTAGTACACTGTATCTAGAAATATACAAAACGACACTAAAACCAAATAGTTTGGAATTTAAGATCGTTAATTTACTCTCTTGGAGTAATTATGGTATATTTGTATCAGTAAGCTGAATTATAAAAGAAAGACCTAGTTTTATTGAATACCCTCTGATGAATATACAGTAATAGGAACAATTCCCAAAACAATTCAGATAATTTGGTGTTCTTACCACAGAAAATGCAAATTGTTGAGTTTGCTTTTGCAATACTTTTATTGAAGTCATCCAGAACATATAATAGTTTCTTAAGGTTTCAAGAAATCAGTATGTAACAACTAAACCTTTATGATAAACGTCAGTTTACCAATTGTGGATTTGGTTACCTTCTGTACAATAAAAAATAATTTGTGTCCATAATCAACCATTATATTTGTTATTAAGATCCGTTTGTGGTGAGTCATCAACCAAAGCAAGATATCACACACAATGGAGTTGCATTTTTACAATAAGTAGAGTTTTCATAGATGAAACTAATTAAATTCCTTTTAGGTAAGGCTAAAGCCTCAAGATTCTTAATTTTCTTAATATAGTCGCATGAATTTCCCGAATAGCACTAACGACTTTCAGAGACGGCTGTCCATGTACAAATTAGGTACATTTTAAATACATGTATGACTTTTCTTGTCTAAGCGCATTAGTCAACATCAGCCTACTCTATCAACCATAATTCTATAGGGTTTTAACATAACTGACTGCATGCTAATTCGCGTAAAAACTTCGCGGCCTCGAGATTTCGAATATTAAATACATTAGTTAACAGACTAACAATATAAACCGAAAAAGAACTGAGCAATATCCATAATTTACTGAATGTTGTTTGTCTTTTCCTCAGAAAGCAAAGTGCAAATCCTTAAAAACACTAAAGCACATTATCCGACAGCAAGAGACCATAAACCACCCGAACTTAGATTAACTGAGATTGCACAATTTACTATGATTTGATGCTCTTGCCGGAAATGTCACAGATTCTGCAAGTAGTTTGGAGATATATAGCGATATTCACAAGTTATTAAATACACAGCTGATTATTGACTGAGAAGAGGTAACTTAAGAAATAACCAGTAGTTAAATAATATACGAGTTAAAGCATCAAACCAACAGTTTATAAAACAAATGTGTAAAGGCAGTTGTCAGACATACATTGTAAGGGACAGTGACACTCACTGGTTACATATACTGGTTTGGATGAAACGGAGAATAGGAGGAACTAAAGAATACCAACTATGTGATTTATGGCAACCAATATCTTTCTCTGTGGTACCAACATATCCGTTAAGTTTACGGGAACGCGTCCATAAGTAGCCGAAACACAAAATAACCGGACATCTGGTTCATCATTTACTTTGACTGTATCTTTAATAACCTTAGCATGAGAGAAATAGCCATACAATTCCGAAAGTTACCGGATTCAGCAAGACCATTACATTTTTAGACTTAATACTGGATCAGCAGAGACCCATTGACGAAACTTACAATAAGCAATACACATAGAGCAGAAAGGTGAAACACTAATAACTCGTGAGGCACTGCACTGACAATTAAAAAGGGAGAAAATCTTAAAGTTGATGTTGGGCAGCTTAAGGTGCATCGCACTGAGCCTCCGTCGAATTGTGCTAAAAATAATACATCGTGAATGAACGCTACAGTGTGCTGAACTGAAGTGGACAGTAGTCGCAACAAAATCTAGGCTGTGTCTTTGTCGCTTAGGAGAATGCTAGCAATGGAATCCTTGAGAATTTTGTATTATATTGCTAAAAACTAAAGCTGACATGTATAACTGAATATCAATATAAACTAATTGATGAAATCTTATGCATATAAATCAAACAGGAATCACAAAGTGAATAAGCACCCTAGAATCGAGAATACAGCTATAAGCAATCATGTTAATTTATACTAGTAACCATTCATAATTAGTGAACAAGGTATTGAAGTTGAAGGTTCTCTTACAACTTATATGTCACGGTCTCGAACACCACAGGAATAGTGTGTTACTCTTAATCAAATGAACGCATACTTACTAATAAACACGAAATATGTGGACCACATAGCTACCGAAATGTATAGACACTGTCATCATAACACAGGATTTCAACTAATCCGCGTAAAACAAGCATTATGTTAATCCGATGCACAAGTGAAACTTTCAATATTCAAGAGCTTTGAGACAAGTCGCAATATGCTAATTGATTTATCAGGCTTCGTATTCTGATGTGAACAGACGGTTTACTGTTTAAAGGTTGCGTTCGATGAGAATATTTACTTAACTTTCGACCCAAGTGGTTCCAATGATATTTGTCTTCATTTTCAATAATTAGGGTAGGTATATCGAACTATATTAGTCCCTGCAGTTTGTAACACTTCGGAGACCCAATCTCGTTTCGAATATATCAGCAGGAAGCTCTGGCATAACGTATTCTGCTAGAGAATCCCAGCAACTCACTAATCGGTGCGAGAAGCGAAACTCCAGACGTAGACGAATTGATCTCGGTTTGTAGACTTTCTTCATGTGTCCTCTCAAGTACTCAGTCCCAGACAGAAGGAAAAGATGTGACATATTACTAACAAGTTCATCGTTTAGTATACGATGAGCCAGTATTAGATAACCACGTAATCTACGGTAAGATAACGAAAATAAGCTGAGGTGTCTCAGACTGTCTTCATAAGATAGGTCATAGAGACATTTTATCATTTTAGTCCCTTATTGTTGGACTCGTTACAATATATCTGCCTCATACTTGAAACGGTGACTTTCTGCTTAAATTCTCTATTCTAAACATTTATTCATCCATGTACTGTAAAGACCTACGAATAGCCCATAATACCCTAAAGCCTTTGGCGGCAACAGCCTTACAGTTGCTCGTATTTTGAGGCTGCTGCTTATTATGACTCCTAAATTTTTACATTTTATTGCGTTAGGTAACACAACCTTGCATATTGAGTAGTGATACGAATCACAATATTTAACTGCATCACCACACTCATGTTAAAATTAACTTCTAGTGACCATCTTTTCATCCATGCCGCTGGTTGTTCCTCGATGCTAATAGAAAAGCTTCAGCTTTTTCGACATCGCCTCATGCAAATATTAACGGATCCTATTGCACCGCAAGTGATGGGATCCCACCACTTCTCTGAGTTCGCCTTTTTATATACGAGAATAACCATCTCGGAATATTTTTGTAGTCTAATAAAAAATTTTTCACATGACCGTCTAGTCTCACTTACCGACGCTTAACAAGCATTCCTAGTCTTGAGATGGTGGAGAAGATTTGTAGCTCAGGTGGATGATTTTGGTGGTGTTTTGTTCTCTGAGCTGGATGGTTTGGTCGTGGAGCTTTCATCGTTCTTCTGAACGACATCATCAGCACAAACTTCAGATAGAAGTGAAGTGTTCGAACACTTCAGCTCAGAGAACAAAACACCACCAAAATTCCTAGTCTTACAATAACTGGTTCTGTACTGTTCTAAGCCAGTAGAGATGAACATATTCCAATGCTTTATCCTACGTCTAAGAAGTTTCTTAATCTGCTTAGTTATTCGTGGCGAATATTTACTCGGTTTACGTAGAATTAGGCATGGTATAAATGAGGACGTAAGTGAACTGGGCTTGCCTTTAAATATAAAACATGCCCCTTCAATTAATGAGCTAGTATTTACTTGCCAGTCTGTTGTTTCAGCTTACTATTAAATGGTGGTATGTTTGCTCTCCATACATTAGAGTGAGGTTTAGCCTGATTATATACTGACTCAAGCTGTAAACGTGAATGACAAAACAGCGATATCGCTGCTCGCTAACGGTGGAAGAATATTGTGATAATTAGGAGTACTTGCATTATAGTACAAACTAGGGATCCCAGAAATAACGCGATTAGATCAAGAAGCATGAGATAAGCACGAACGAATGTACTGTATATGGAATTCGGAATCAAGCATTCAGCATGTACAAAGGAATCACTAGTTCTGTAGCGTGGTGTCGAGTTGAAGATTAACTGTGAACACCGCTACCAAGAAACACGCGCCAAGTAGATCAGAAGGCGTAAGAAGCTCGTTCAAAATGACTCCATAAAATCCCCGAGAAGCCAAATATCAGAAGACAGTTAATGGACCAAGTCGAGGTTTATTAGCTGGCAATCTCGTGGCATCGAAAGGATACCGAGATCGTGCCAGGATACAAGCTTGGTTACAGAAGGTAACCGAATTCGCGCGAAGTTACAATCAAAGTGTAAGTAAATGAATGGAAGCACAAAATAGCTGTCATTAGCACAGTCAAACAAAAGCACGTTAAAACAAACACTGGTACAGTTGGTTATGATAATAATTGTTTTTATTAAACCAGTCGTGTTCTCGTGATAAATGTGAGTCACTACAGTTCATTCAAACATCACAAATATCTAGATTGGTAATATCCTCAGTCGTATGAGTGGTTACTAAGTCTAAAAAAAAGATCCCTGGTTAGAAACAAAATGTATGGGTTTGGATACATACTGTACTAAAGGATGCGCTACTGCCGTCATCAGGGGCCTCCTACCGAAAGAATATACAGATCCTACTGTAGCCATCTCGGGCCAACTAATATCAGGTGTATTAAAGTGTTATTCACGCTCCATAGCTGAATGTGTCCTAAAAAAGTCATTAGCTAAGCAGGTTGGGCCATGATAGATGACACAGAGTATAAATGTAGAATGTCTAATAGTGAGCTCACAGCCAATGACATCACAAGTCCCACTATCACGGGATTCGTGAGCAAAGGAGAGGATATTTATATTGTTGCCTATGCATATAAAGACGCCACCTACTTTCCGACATGTCTATCACTTCTTAGGTAGTGGTATTTGGATAATTCTGTGGTAATGCTGTAGTCGTGGACTAACCAAGTTTCCGTCAAGACTACAATGAGTGGCCTTAATTTGTCCACTAATGCAACTAGTTAGTAAAATTTATTTCTCAGACTACGAGCATTTGCATATAAAACACCTAGAGAGAACGACCTGTCCACATAGGCCTTGGTAGCTTTCGCTTTCAAGAACTGACTATTAGAAAACCCACTAAGCAGAGATTCCCCTCATCACTTTGTCGACGGGTCTCTAGTTCGGCTAGTACCACCCTTCTTTTTATTCCATTTTCCAGAGACATATCGGGTCTTACCCGAATGTTAGTAAAGTTGTGACTGCGAGCGCTGCTTAACAGAAGACCATGTTGCTTCTCCAACCCTAAGATTAACTTAGGGAAACTATATGGTCAGATTCAACAGTGTCGTCGGCCCTCTTACTTATTCTTACCAATTTTTTGGCCTGAACTCTTTAAGAGTCATCTAATAAAATGCTACGGATAAATTCTCTGAACTTTTCCAAATCATGTCTAATTTCAGGATTAGGGTCGTTTGATTCTAGTGAATTACGATAACATTCGATGAGATTAAGTTTTTACCAGCCACGATAGGGTGATATACTGTCGTACTATCAGATTTGGTAGTGTATCATGTGGCTCAGAATGGGAGTCTACCAATGACTTTCTAATCACGTGAGTGCCGCTCATAGCATCTTTCCTTCACTTCTTTGTCTGTATACTATCATTCAGTTTTTGTCAAATAGGACAACCACATCTGGGCTATTATAGACGGTGACGGTTTTTGATGGAGTTTTTTTATCTGAGCTGGATGGTTTGGTCATGGAGCTCTTATCGTTCTTCTGAATGATATAATCAGCACAAACTTCAGATAGAAGGGAAGTGTTCGAATTTCTCGACATGTGGTTCACAGAATGTCCTGTACACCTCAATGTTGATTGGTTCTTGTTTCACTCGGGTCTTCAGTATCTACTGTGGAAGCATGACTACCCACATCAATATCAAGTGGCAATTTACTCCTTGTAAATATCAACAGAGATTTCGCCGTTCCGTCAATTACGGTTTGGTGTTTAAGTCATCCTGTAACAACACATACTACACTGATACATTCTTTACTGTTAGTACTCTTCTCAACAGATCAACACCATCATTGTCGTTACAGGCCAAAGACAGGAGACACACAGACCTCTGACTCAGTAACGTTTTACTCGTACAGTAAAACATACAAAACTGGTACATGTCCAATGGTACTACTTTTTACACTCATCACATCACATTCCTTCCTCCACGGAGAATAAACAATTTGGAATTGCCAACAACTGCAATCAGATTAAGATGGCTTAATAATAATAATAATATGGTAATAACCATCATATTAGCACAAGTGTCAGAATCAACGATAAAGAATGTACCATAAGACAAAGTTAAACAATATTTCAAACCCGAACCGAAATATCTCAGCTAAAAGCAGACTGAGAATTCTTTTTGTTGCAAAACGTACAAAAAACGAAGTTAATCACAAGTGCTAAATCGCTGCCCTTTTTTGAAACACGCGCTCAATATATGTGAATCCCTTCACTGCCTTCACAACTCTAAACTTTGTCTTTGAGTTTTTCTGCTTTGCTTCGGAAGCACTGTGTCAATAAATAAAGGTGTTACCGGCTGTGTTAGACCTTAGGATCAGTGAAATGTCTCCGAGCCCTAATCAAATCTTCTGGCAACTGGGTCACTGAATGTCAAATAGTTCATTGAAGACCATCAAGGTCAAGAACAGTCAATTACTTGCATGCCATGGACTGATCCATGCCGTGGTGGTCTCAACTTCCCCGATTGTATCCACTTTTACTAATACATTCCTGTGATAATGTCCTATGCGTTATACGGTATTCAAAGCAGCCACAGTGTCTTGATACGATGATGGGTTCCCCACCATCTACGTTGGGTGTTGGCCGTGAGGTGTAAGTTTGAAGTTAGCTGTTGGTTAAACCATCCCCGTCTAACTCGAGTAGGCCCTCAATCATTTGACATAGATCATCTACGTCGGTAGTCTATAAACCTGATATGTAGGATGCGAGGTACGAAAAGTTCCGTATTCATTCAATAATCGGAAGAACTGAAATGATAAAGATAAAACTGCTGGCGAGGGATTGTTTAATCGTACTTGTTTGTTTAACTGTACCAAAATACATACCTTCTTCCGTGGATTGTGACCTTGCACGAAATTACGTTTGCTCAGTAGTTCCGCTTGTACTCCTTTGGCACG